AGGACGTGGTGGGAGCGGGCAGGCGGGCAGGCAGCTACCCCTCGCCCTCATCCACCTCCTCCGCGCCGCCCGCGCCGCCCGCACCGCTCGCCGGGAACTGCCGGGAACCGGGAACTCCGCCCCGGGGCTGCACGGGAAAGAGTGCAGCGCACTGCCGTACCGCCCCTCTAAGCCTCTAGGCCTAGGCCTGCCTCTGGGCCGCCCACCAGGCACCAGGGCGCCCTCACGGCCGAACCCAGCCGAACCGAGGCGCCGCCTTGTCGAATTTCGCAAACTGCTCACTTGGTTGCGGCCGGGCCACACCTTGTAGTGTAGTGTCGCGGTTCCTCCTCGCGCTTGGCGGCCACCTCGGCGCTTGCCGGTGAGGAGCCTCGGCGCTTGGCGGCGGCGCTCGGTGCACAGACTAATTAAGGGGCGATCAAAGCGCCGCCCGACCGGGCCGATGCCGAGCTCGCCCTCTCCTGGGGCGCCGCCCCGCCCCGCCCCGCCCCGCCCCGCCCCGCCCCGCCCCGCCCCGCCCCGCCCGCCCCGCCCCGCCCCGCCCCGCCCGCCCCGTCGCCCCTCGCGGCCCTGGTCGCCGGTCGCCGCGCCCCGGCGGCCACGACCCCGCCTGCCCCGCCTGCTCGAATGAAACGACGGGCCACCTCCCGGAGGCTAGCTCATTCCGAACAGTGCCGTCTACTTCCGTCGCTGTCTCTGTCGCTCTCATGGGGCTGCCCGTGCGAGTGCGAGAGAGACACGGCGACAAAGCGCTGTTCGGAATCGGGCCGCTGGAGCTACGCTGGAGGGGCCGCTGCCGTCAGGCCGTCAGGCGGAGAACCGCGGCGCCGTCAGGCGGCGGGGAGGGGAGGGGAGGGTAAACTAGGAATTTAGCCGCCACTCGAGAGGGCTGTTGAAGCAAGATGATGAGGGAGGGAGAAAAGGGAAAGCGTTTGTTGTCGTCGTGCGCGTCGGAAAGTCGGAAACGGTACGCGGCCCGAAAACAAGAACAAGGTTTCGCAGTGGAGCGAAAACGAAATATTTCCCCTGCCAGCCCCGCCCCGCCACGCCCCGCTCCGCCACGCCCCGCCAGACCCGGCTGGCCTCGACGCGTTGTGTCCCCGCCGCCTTTTGCCGGCGTTTGCATGACGAGCGGGGATCAAAGCAAAAGGAGAATCGAAACGAAATGTCGGCATCGTTATCGCGCGGCACAAAGGAAGAAGAAGAACTTGTGCCGCACGGAGCGGCAAGCCCCGGCAAGCCCAGGCAAGCCGAGTGGTACCGAGCGCCGTCCGCTCCGCGCCGCCGCGCCCAGAAATTCTCCAAGAGCGGGAAGAGGAGTCAAACCATGCTTTTTGCCCTGTGCATTCACGCGGAATGTATTGCAATTTGCCAACCTTCCAGGGGTGCATGCGCCACTGATATTAACGTTTTCAGCGTGCCGTCGGCCAACGCGTCGTACATTTGTCTTCTCCAACGTGCGACCGGCCGGCCACACGATACACGAAAAGCTCGGACGACGTGCTTTTGTTTCAAAAAGTGTTCCGTGCGTGGCTCGCGGGTCTACGCGGGTAAAATGGCCGGGTGATTCGGTTTGGGAGACACACGCTACAGAGCACCGGTGAGCCCGGCCACTGGCCGCCCAACGCCCAAGGAGGACAGGCCAGGACGCCGACATGCCCAGGCCCTCAGCCGTCTGATTCCGAGCACTGCTTTCGTCGCTCTGTCTCTCTCGCACTCATGGGGCGGTCCGTAGGGGTGCGAGAGAGACAGAGCGACGAAGCAGTGTTCGGAATCAGACGGCAGACCCGCTGAGCACTACCGGCACTACCAAGACGCGGGGAGTGCTCGCGCTGCGCACGAAATGATTTCGGTCCGTGGCAGTCCGCGCCGCCTTGCCTCGGTTCCGGTGCCTCGGCCACCCTCGAGCACCCTCGAGTGGACGCCAGAGGGCAGAGCGGATAGGACAAGCAGCGCGATACACACTCCAGCCTCGCGGACCGAGGTTCGATCCCCCGTTGCTCGGCTCTTTTTCTCCACATCCCTGCGCACTGCGCGATGCAAGCCAGTGGCGCGGCGTGTTTTTCCAGTTTTCTCCCTCGCAGCACTGCCAACCCAACCAACCTGGACCGGGGTAGAGCGTGTGGAGGGTCCGCCGATCTCCGACCACACGGAACGGCAGTGCTCGAGACCCCGCCCCGGGTACGCCTCATTTTCGGAAAGCCTCTGCGAGTTCCCTTCTCCTTCGCCCGACAATGGTGCGGGCTGTTTTAGCCGTGTCCAAGCTGGCCACGGTCCACGGTGCGGTGCGGGCCAGCGTGGGAAAGTAAATCATTCTATTTTTAAAGAGTTGGCAAGGAATTGACCTCTTCTCTTCGCACGCGGCTTAAATTTACGTATTCATTCGGTCCGAGTGAGACGCCCCGCGCCTCGCTCCGTCGGGCTCCGTCCCATGCGGCGCCCGCAGACTCGAGGGTAGGCAACCCGCTGGTCTCTCCCATGCTCGACGGAGTCGTTGTTGAAAGTCCATCCTTAAACCTTCAAACTCTACCTCTTCAAGATTTGACAGGCACGTTGCCACACTGCCGCGCGCGAGGGGGTATGCGCTCTCTGAACCTATGTACCGACTATTACGCTATTACGCTCTATTACGCCACAATTTAATCGGAATTTAGCTAAAAACGGCCTAAAACACACCAAAATTGATAAAATTTTGACAATTTCGGCTCTTACGCGACTATTACGCGACTATTACGCGACTATTACGCGTATTATTACGCGTGCTATTACAGATAGAGTGAACCGACTATTACGCGAGTGCATACCCCCTCGGCCGCGCGGTTCCATACGTCCCAGTGGTCAGTGGAGTAGGGTACAGTGTATACAGCAGCCCATTGCAGCAGCCCCCGACACACTGCACTCCAGTGCTCAGTGCTCCAGCACTCCAGAGGGGCCAGGGATTCCTGCCTGCCTGCTCTAGGCGGATCAGCGCGGCGGGTAGCCTAGCCTTTGCCTAGGCCGGCCGGGCTAGGCCCTAGCCGCCAGGGAGCTCCATGAGGACTTTGGCTTTCCGAAGGACTTTCGGCGATTATGCGTCCTATCTGTCCTGCAGGCATGCCCCCACACTCTCGGCTCTCGGCGGGCCTGCATGCATGCCCAGCCCAAGCAGGCCTGCTCTAACGCTTCGAAAACAAAATTCAAATCCACCGACATGTTTGCCAAACGCCGCACGCCGCACACCACTGTAAAATCTCTTCTGTCCGCCTGATTCTGGGCGTCTGGAACGGCTGCAAAGCTGCATGGTGGTGTCGCGAGCCAAGCGAAGCCTGGCCAAGCCTGGCCAAGCCTGGCGCGGCCGCGGCGGGCAAAGTCAGACGCACCCAACGGCAATTTGCCGTTTCTTTATTTACGGCCAGGCCACGGCAAGCGTGCTAGAAAACAGAAAACCCCGGCAGATGTGTCGGGGTGGCCGGCCGGGCCGGGCCGGCGGTGAAGTGTCGCCTCGTGTTTTAGAAGGGTGCACCGGCCGGGCCGGCCGGGACGCCAGCCGAGGCTGCCGAAGCTGCCGAGGCTGCCGAGGCCGGGCGGGGAAGTTACCGGCGCGGGGAGGGGAGTTCACCCCGCGTCTGTATCATCGCGTCGCGCGTCGCGGTTCAGTCATGACGGGGACGAACGAGGAGAGAGAGATGGAAAGAAATTGGGAGAGAGAGAGAGGAAGGGAGAAGGCGAGAGGGAGCGTCGCGTCACCATGGCAACTATTGTTCTTGATCCAGCTAGTCTCTATCCATCCCACAGCAAAGTGCAATAATAGCATTCTTTTGTGACGATCGCTTCGCTCCGCACGCCGCGCCGCCGCGCCGCTCCCCTGTCCCTGCCACCCTCCGCACCCCTCCCTCCAGCTCGCGTGCTCCAGCCCGCTCCAGCCAGCCAGCGTGCCCAGGCTCCAGCAGCACGAGCCCAAAGTAGATCAGTCGCGGACGGCGGCTGCGTTTTTAATAAGCGCAGCCTTTCGATTGAGGCGTGGCACGGCACGGCACGGCACGGCAGGGCGCGGCAGGGCGCGGCAGGGCGCGGCGGTGGGGCGGGGCAGCGCACGGCACGGCGTGCAGTATGTCCGAGGAACAATCGATAATTCGCTGTCTCGAAATTATGAAAGCAGGGACGCTGCCCCAGACAGCGACCTTGTGAATAAATAAAGTGCGATCCGTAAACTCTTAATCAAAAATCATCTGTTTTTCTCGTTTACGTTTTCAAAATTGTCACCGTCAAATTTAATAAATGGCGGTAGGAACACGACGCCTGCGATGTCTCGAGGCTGGGCCGCTTTGGGGCACCGGCAATGTAAACAAACCATAAAAGTTTCGGACGGTGGTCGGGAACAAAATTTAAATTTCAAACCCCATGTTCCTGTGCCGTCTGGGCATCCTAATTTTTCTCGGTGCGGGCGTGATAAGTCGACACAGCTTTTCGCTGGAGCCTCTGCTAGACCCGAAAATTCTGCAGCCCTTGCAGCATGGGTTGCCTACCGCGCAGGCCACAGGCCTCCAGCCCGCGATATCCGTGAGAGCCAGCTTTTCTACGGGGCACGTCGGTCTGTGGTCTGTGGTCCACGGTGCACCCAGCGGCTAGTCCTGCATTGATTCGCATTTCGATCATCGGGATGGGCTCGCGATTCGTGGCACGAAATCCACTCGCCATGCCGGTTGCCAGGCCCCAGGGGCTTGCAGAGGAACCACTCTATTCGTGGGCATGACGGCATAGAGCTGCAGCCCTGCAGCCGGCCGGAGTTTGATAAACCGCGTTCCAGGCCGCCGCCTCGCCGTTCCAGCCGTCCCCAGCTCCAGCCTCGGCTCCAGAGGCTCCAACCCGGTCTCTGCTGCGGGCTGCCGCGCGGACCACTGGCGCCCTCCCTCGGGGGGAGGGTCAACTGCTCGCAAAGGGGGAGGTTCGCTCCGCCACCGTGGCAGCTGCAGCAGCAGCATCTCCCGTCGGGAAGGGAAACCAAATACAGACGAGATTCGTGTTTGCGGACGGCTTACAAGCGGTGAGTAATATTTAATGAAAATTAATCGTTTGCCCGGGGCTTTCTTGCCGGAACGCGGTGCGGACGCACGCCCGGACTTCCCCGGCCGTTGCTCCGACGAGGGATTTCGGCGAAAGGCTTTTCTTTTGAAGTGAGAAACCAGCTAGTGTGAGCGAAAGAGAGAAATGTCACACTTACGAGGTGTCAACCGACGGCTGGGTGATGTATTCGTTAGTGCTCCTGTGACAGTCAGCCACTGATGCAAAAACGGCCGGGTAGGAGTTGAAAGGGTTTCAACATTTCCGAGGAAACGGTCGCATTTGCTTCTCGCCGGGCGGCGGCAGGGAATATTTAGGGGTTCGTGGTGGAAAACCGCGGTGCAGACGCCAAAGGGGGCGGCGGGGCGGCCGCGGAGAGGTTAGGAGCCGCGCCGTCGGCGACACCGCGGTCGCGTCCGCGAGATGAAGGGGAAGGGGAGGGGAGGGGAAGTGTGGGGGACTCTTTGCACCTGCACGTGCACTTGTGCGCTAAACCAGGTGAATTCTGTTTCTACTCGGAGCTGTCAGAAACTTGAGTCGCAACAAGAGTGGAAATTGGAAGAGGGTTTGGAATGGTGCATTGTGTATGCATAGTGTTTTGGCCAGATCAATGATCTTCTGGAAAGCCGAGACCCGGCGCATTTCGGCTATGACGGGGACACGTCGTGACTCAGGTGCTTCCGGTTTCCGGTTTGCAGGGATGGAGCTGCCTGGCGGGGGCTTTCCCTTCCACCACCCCTCCGAGGGGCCCCACCACCCCCACCACCCCCCGCCGCCCCACCACGGCTCCCCCGAAGGGGTGATGCCGCAGGTGCCGGGGCGCCGTACCCCTTTGGGGGCCGTGGGGCTCGGCGGCTTCTACTTCCCGCCGGGGAGTCACCAGATGGCCCCGCCTGGAGGAGGCGCCGGTGGCAGCGTTGGAGGCGGGGGCGCCGGTTCGACTCCGGGCGGCGGCGGAGGCCTCGGCATCAACGTGGGCGGCTGCCACCTGCAGCTGGACGTGCCGGACTCGGGGCCCAAGTCCGACGAGAACAGGCCCGACCAGTTGCACCCCAACAGGTGAGTAGGAAACCCTGAGTGCCTGTCCTGTCTCGTGCGTGTTTGACGCTTTACACTGTCTTGACGCCCCCCCGTCCCGACTGGTCCCGACACCGACGCCGTGTCGACAGGTCACCCCAGCAGCGGCACTCCCACGGCGGCGGCGGCGGCTCCTCGTCGGGGGGCGGCTCTGGCGGCAAGTCCAAGTCCCGCCAGGGGAAGCTGGTGAGGCTCAACATCAACGCGCGGGAGAGGCGCCGCATGCACGATCTGAACGACGCCCTGGACGAGCTGCGCTCCGTCATCCCCTACGCGCACTCGCCCTCGGTGCGGAAGCTGTCCAAGATCGCCACCCTGCTGCTGGCCAAGAACTTCATCCTCATGCAGGTGAGTCGCGCACCACTCTATGAATGGGACACTTTTGGCCGCGTTGCCTTTGCCTGTTGCCTTTGTGACGCGTTGTGACGCCACAGGCCAACGCGTTGGAGGAGCTGCGCCGCCTGATCGGCTTCCTGCAGGCGCAGGCCGTGCAGGCCGGCGCCGCCGTCACGCTGCCCGTGCAGGCCATGGCGGGCATGGGCGGCACGGGCTTCGACATCCAGGCCTTCCTGGGAAACCCCGCCCTCGCCCAGACCGCCGCCGTCTCCGCCGCCGCCAAGATCATCCAGCAGCAGCAGCAGCAGAGGCAGGAGGCGGCCGCGGCACAGGACATCCTGGACGAACAGCAGGGGCAGGCCGCCGCCGCAGCCGCCGCCTCCTCCGCGTCGTCCTGAACGCGTCGTCGGCAAGGGGCAAGGACTCGTGCTTTTGTCGGGGAGTAGCAAGGGAGGCGTGCGGGATCGTCCTGGCGGTCGGAGCCCACGCAACCCCATGCAGTGCCTGACAGTGCCTGTCGGGGTCTCCAGAGTCCAGCCTGGCTTCCATGCTAGCTCACCACGGTGACCACAAAACGGGATAATACTCAGACTTGATCTCTAAGATTGTTTTCGTTCTCTTTGGCTTGTAGGAGACAAATTCTACCCAGCCTAACTGACCGGGTTTAAATTTATGGAAGTCCATGTAATTTCTGCCGTTGAGAAGAATTGATGGACTTCCCTGGAGAGAGGGCCATGAAAACTTTGTAGGCGGTGCAAATTCCGAAAGATAGTAGAACATGTGTGTTTTTCAAGCTGTCTGGAAATTTAAAAAAAATCTTTTTGTCTGAATGATTATAATTTTGGTGGGCAAGACTGAATTTTCCATTTAGCCAGCCCTGAAAATTGTCATGGATATCTTTTGCTAGTTTTTCCCAAATATGTGGTTTGTTTGTGATAGGGAAGCCAATGAAAGATTTATCTTGAAACCAAAGAAAAGTCCCTATGATGGTAATTTGTAAGTTTTGGTGATACATGTAGAGCAATAATGTTAATTCTAGTCGCAGGGTTGTGATGTTAAGAGAGTAAAGTTAATTTTTATCGTAGTAGAGTCATGTTTTCCTTCTTTTACATGTTGAGTCTGTGTCAGCTTAATTTGTGTGCTTAGGGAAGTAAGACTGGATTTAATCTTACAAGTTTTTACATGTAATGAAGGCTCTTATGACATGAATCGGAGACAATTTTGTTCTTTCAGAAATCACGGATTTGTCATTTTAACTCAGGACTGAGGCCACTGTTCTTTATTTGTAACTGTCCACTTCAATTGGAACCTATGTAGACGTAGTTTAGAACTTTTTATTAGCCCCATGTTTGAAATTCACCTTTGTTGAAAAGTGACCATTATGTGTAGTTCAGTTTTGAACTAACTGCTCATGAGCTCTTCATTCCTGTCTTAGTGAGTTTAAAGTGAAAGTGAGCAATGAAAATCTATGAAGTTTCTTCTTTTTCAATATATGTAACAAATGAAAAAAAAAAATGTGTATGCTACTGTGTTCTAGTCAATAAATAAAATAAGCAAAACTTGCTCAAAGCAATCAAGATGTCTGTTGTGAGTAATGACTTTGGCCCAACATTGTAGGATATAAGATGAAATGGGGTGTTAAGGGTATAAAACTTGATTGAAACAAACCACATCCATTCTGCTGAGAAATTTTAATCCTTCAATTTTCCGCATCCATAACATGAACATGATTTAAATTTACAATAATAGTTCATCATTGAAGGTAAGTATACTATAAGAAGATACAGTCTAGATTCTTATTACAAAAATATGCACTCACTAAACAAATTCAAGTTATTAGTACCTGAGAAAAACATGTGTTGGAGATGTTATGGATAATACTGGTAACAAAACTTTCTTTTTGAAAAGTGAGCAAAATGTTGTTTAACACGGAGAATAAGTCTTTAATTGTTGTGCCTAGACTGGCATCATCATTTACCCTTTCCCTTCTTCTTTCCCTTCTGTTGCACTTTCCTTTGCTGCTGGCGTGGTCCTGGCTCCACAATAGGGCTTGTAGCAGCTGGTGATGCCTTGGACTGATTAGAAACTTTTGACATGTCACTGGAAAAATAAATGAGAAGAATTATTCTCCAGAGAATCAATCAATTCATCTACATTACTGTACATCCAACTAAATACTTACTACATGTCACTTGCTCCCGCAGCAGTACCCTGGGTTCCCTTTCCAATGGCTGCGTCCCTAAACCTGCGATCAACTCTTTTCTTGCGGTATCCTGGTCGTTCATGTTTGGGAAGCCAGCGGTCTGGGTTGGGGTCAGGTAAAACACCTGATTCGTAGGGTTTGGGAAGCTTTCCTTTCCTCTTCTTCTTCTTTTTAAGTTTCTTCTGCAGCAACTCATCTCCAGGTGTTCTAAAACAGAGAAGACATTTTGACATTTTAACCAACAATGAAACATAATTCAACACATTTGTCAGATAATAAATACTGCACAGCTTACTAAACTTTACTACTCACCCTGCTTTGGATCCAGGAGAAGGCTCAACCTTGGTGGCCTTTTTGATTACCTTGGTGCCCATTATCCAATTAGAGGATTCTAGAGCATCCACATCTTGGCCTTGGTAGTCCAGGTTAGGCAATTTCTTACTTAAGGCAGTTGCCTTTGCTGGGTCGAACTACAGGGACATGATCAAAAGAACAAAAGATATTAATTAGTTTTACGTTATTAACAGGTCATCATTCAAAATTGTTTTCATTTCTATAATTTACAAAATAAAAAAGAGAAACTTACCTGAGCATAAGCAATGACCAGTTGCGCAAGAGTTTTTGTGCTGTCGGGATTGAGCTTCAAAAGCTCTTCTAAGCTTTGGGCAGCTATGTTCGGTGCACCACTTCTCATGTTAAGATCAGCAGCCTGTCTCCAAAGGAGACGGAGGTCACCCTTATCCTGGAAAAAATAAAATTGGATTACGTACACACAAAAACAATGTACAACAAACATCAATTCTTTAAAATGGACTGTATGACACACCTTGCTTCGCTTATACCATTCAACAGCATCTCGCAGAATATTGGATGCTCCCTCTCGATTATTATCAGCCAGGTAGAGAGTTACCAGAGCACTTACTATGCCTGGCTTGAAAGTGGAGTCACCTAAGTTTCGTAGGATGTTGCAAGCCTCCTTACGATCTCCCTGCAAAAATGAAACAATCCAATCAAAATTGATTCCAGTTAGATTCTAAGCTAAGCCACTGAAGTAGTGAATTATATGCTCACCTGAGCAAGGAGGAGTTGAACTGATGCCAGTTTCATTTCGAGTTCTTGCGTAGGAGATGATGATGCTGCCTTCTCCAGTATAGCAGCTGCTTCTCGAGCTCGTCCATCCCTTGCCAGTTGAGTAGCACGGACAAGTGAGAGGTCAGCAGTCAAATCAGGGTACAATCTTGAGACTAGCTCACATTGTTTCTGACATTGGTCACCCTACAAATCAAACAGGCAATCAAAAACACTATTGCTCAGATATTATTATTAATTCAATCACTTAAAAGATTTAATTCTAACCTGGTTTGTGTACAATAGCATCAAGCATTGGTTCACAGCGATATTTTTCCGCTGCCTTGAGGTCAGCTTGTGTTCTAGGCCATCACTTGAAGCACTCTTCATCTTTTTCTTTGAATCAAAAACATTTTGATCTTTGTTGATAGCCACACTATTGTTGCTGGCGATTGCAACTAAGCTAATGTCATCTGGTTTCCTCTTAAGAGCAGCCGTATAAATTCCTTGAGCTTCCTTTTCTCGGCCTTGCAATTGCAAACAATATGCAAGCTGCACCCTACAAATAAAATTTTATCAATTTAAAAAGAACAAATGTAAATTAAAAAATAGGGAAAGAGGAGGTATGAAGATAAATGTTGATTTTACCGGATGATAGCCAGTTCCTCTTCAATTTCATCCTCAGTTGATCCGTCCTCTTCCAGCATCTCTCGGCACATTTTTTCAGATAGTCTCAGTTTCTTTTCTGCCTCTATGTATTGCTGACGTCCAATCAACTGACATGCGGTGTTATAAACAAGTTCATAAGTGGTTTCCCTAAGTGCAGGCAGTTCTTTTTCCTGAAGGAATCACAAGATTAAGGTAAATATGATAATCCACACAATGGCTAGACATCTATCCTACTAGAATACCACTTACAGAGCCCTCAATGCAGAGGTTAGCAAGCACAGCAGATAAATTGGTCTCACGCTCATCTTCATAATCATCTTCGGTGTTCTTAATTATATCTCTATAAACATCAAAGCATTCCTCATACCTGGCAGAAAGAAGGGAACGGTTTATCAAAATAGCCTCTCACACGAAAATAATAAATACTTATGCTACTTACTGTTCAAGGCGATATAAAATTTGAGCCTTCAATTCTTTTAACTTCACACTGAGCTGCTGCTCTGAATTAACTGTCTTCAGAGCTTCTTGAGGTTGATTCAGTCGATATTGGCAGTATGCTTTCTCAAATGTAAGGTCACTGTAACAATAAGACTATATCTGTAAAATATACCAGTAAAGAAATAGCACACAAGAGAATGTGGATGTAATACCTTGAGAGTTTAGGATTTTTACTGATGAATCCTAAGGCATCATTGAACTTTGAAAGCTGGATAAGGCTCACAATTTTGCAATGAAATGCTTTCTCTTCATCTGCCTGGCTGGAGAGAACTGGAACATTGAGATAATAAGAGAACTGTACTAATGCATATGACGGCATGCATTTGAAATTGTCTCTTTTAACAACTTTGAACCAGACATGCAGCAGACTTGAAGAAATGTTTGATAAGCAATTCTGAGCTCGTATGTTAAATTAAATATAAAGCACGGACAAAAAGGAAACAGGTAACACATTGTGGTAAGAGACATAATAAGAAACCAACAGCTAAGCACGTGCATAAATATTTAAATGGAAGGGCAAAAAATACAAAAATTAAGATGCTTGCCAGAGAAAATTAAATTGTACAATCACTAATGAAATGCAATACTAAATGAACCAGTAGTTCGACACAAGGTTAGGTTTCGGCACATCACTTCAGAAATCAGTAGGGAAGACCTGGTGAGCCTTACTTTTGTTTGCTGCCTTCAGAGCACGTTCGTACTCCCCATTTTGACCGAATTTATTCAATTCGGCATACAAAGCGCTTAAATTGGCTTCTTTAGCCGACGACATCGCATCCAAACATATGCCACTTGTCAGCAGACAACTCCACAACACGTCGCATTCAACTGTCGAAAGGACAGACGATCTCATGTGCGTCACACAAAATAATATTTCTACCAAGTTGTAATGTCATCATGTTGTAAAGAAAATACATTTTAACTAAGTGCTGTAATTTCATTTATGTCTGTGCGTTGATTATTTTCATGATCAACTGGGGAAAGGAAACGAAATCGAAATGTCCCTAGAAACTAGTTAGAAATCAGGTTGGTACCTCTACACGTCAGCAATTTGTTGTTGTTCTTTGTTGTTGTTTATTTATCTTGATTACCGTCAACACGTTTGGCGTCTGCTACGCGATCCGTGCAGATCCGTTCCGTGTTTAATCTATCTTCCATCTCAAATTAGTGTTTCCGAAATATTTTGTTTGATTTCGACATCGTCTTGAATTAAATCATGTCAGTAGTTCTCTAATGCAATTTTTATGCCTTATTATTGATTTAAACGCTGTTGAACCTGCGAACCATGCATTGTTATGATCTATTATCAGGTCTGATGTGGACGCTGACCATCTTGAAGAAGCCGAGGTTTTTCCTACAATACAAGATCTTCCAGAAGAACTCGTAATCTACATCTTGTCATTCTTAAGTTCATCTGAATTATGCACGTGTGTCGCAAAAGTCTGTACCACTTGGCAAGACTTAGCTTTCACCCCTTCGTTGTGGAGATCTAAAGACTATTTATGTCGAGGAGATCAAAAGATAGAGGAGCGAGATGAAATATTCCATCGTGCACCTTGCCTTCGATGTTTGACAATTGCACCATTGGGTTGTGCAGATACATCTTCCTTACTCTCAGCTCTCAAAGGCAGAGTTCTCCCTGTTTCAGAGTTATTTCTCTGTGGACGCAGGCTTGGGAGTGAATTTTACAGAGATGTTTCAGAGTAAGTTGTTTTTTTTAAATTCATTCTCTTTTATGAAAGGATAAATTCAAATTTTGTTCACCTCTTTGTCCTTTAAGACACTTTGAAGGAGTAGAAAAATTGGTTTTACAAGATGTTAGACTACGGCAAGATGACTATTCAGCTCTTGGAAATTTGAGGTCAATGACAACAGTTGTAATAAGTGGTGATCGTGTAAGTAATTTATAATTTCTCTTTTACTTCATACATGAATATCCTAATTTTATTAACAATCTTGTCTTTTAAAGGTAAGCTGGACAGGACTCCAAACTTTACTATCTAGCTGTCCAGATGTATCCTCTCTGCGCATAGGCGTCATGGGTTGTGATGGTGATGACGAGCTTGCTCTAGTGGAAACACTGAATTCCATGTCTACAAAGCTCACCCACTGTCACTTTCTTGGACCTCTTGGACTATCTGACAGAGTATTACAATCTTTAAGCAACTGCACAAGGTATGCCAAAGAGTTGCAACTTTTAGGTACATTAATTTATGTTGGGATCACCATTTTACAAGTTTTTGCGGTTTCAGATTGCAAGAACTAGAGATAAATGACTGCGATGAAGTCAGTGCAGATGGATTATTGAAAGGACTTATGAAGCTGCCTTCATTAGAGAAACTAACTTTAATAAGTCTGTATAATGTACCACCATCGGCATTGAATGAATTTTTCACAGGCATGTCACTAGCTAAGCTGCACCATCTCAATATAGCTGTCTGTAGACTTTTGGACAATGAATGTCTCCGAACAATTTCTGAAAGGTAAGGACATCCAAACAACTTTGCCCCAAAATGATCCAGTTTAGAAAACATTGGTGTCACCTCCTTACCTAAATTACTTCATCTTGCAGGTGTCCTAATCTCCTTTCCTTAAATATCAGGGGCTGTGATCTCATTACTGACGCTGGTGTCGCCGCTGTCTTAGACAACTGCAAGAAATTACACACACTAGAACTTTGGGGTCTCACCAACCTCACTGGAGAAAGTTTTCGCTTATACCTCCCACCTAGTCTACCAGCTCTCAACCTCATAGACTTCCGTTATTGCAGTCTAGTGCCACAGGAACTTTTAAGAAAACTAGAGATTAAAGGCAGGAAAATTCTCTGGTAATGTGGAACATTGCAAGGATGGCATTTTGCATTTGACAGTGAAGGCCAGGGATGAGGTTGGCTAAAGTACTAAAGAATTGAATTCAATTGAAAATGCTATAATTAAGTTTCATATTAAATATTTTTATTATCTTACATCCACCTGGTTCATCTATTTCCACAGTCATTTAAAAAGAACACCTTGTTTTGTATTCGTATAAATTACACTTAAAATGCTCTCCAAAATACAACACCAAATGTAAAATCCCTGATAACATTCAGTTGATGGCCCTTGATGATTAAAAGTAGGCTGTTTCAAATTGACTTTTGTGCAAAGCAAGACTCACAAAATCAAAATAATTCAAAAAACATTTGATTTCTGCCAGTGATGAGACTTGTAGGAAGAAACAGACAAAGTAGGGCTCAGGATTTAATACTGTCAAAATTGAGCTTGTGCTTCCCTTAGCCTCTGTGCTTTAAACGCCAACAGCAGTCTTCACATCACAGGGCTAGGCTCAACTTCCCAAAGCTTCCCATGTGCTTAGTAAAGGAACTCAAAAACAAAGCTCACGTACACTTAAACCTCTTAAATTTATTTAAGAAACTAGAAAAACCGAACATTAAAAACATTTGAAAAGAGAATGGCAATCACAGATTACACATTCACGTACGTGGTACATTCATTGCCAAATTCACATCACACTTTTACATTACGCAGGGGGAGAGCCACATGGAAGTTCCCATTTAGTTACAATAAAAAATGATATCCAAAACGAGTTATCAAGTCATCTAAGACCAGCATAATTAAAAAAATTGTTTTCAGGTTTCTTTTTTTGGCATTGATGGGAGTTACTGCCTGTCAGTGGCACGCAGCTTCTCCTCCACTGCCTCCTCTGATGCTTCCGACAGGTCGGTAGCCTGCAACAGGAGAGCAAGAACATGAATTACGGAAATGGTAACAGAGTCAAATTCACCCATCCTAGCAAATCTAATAAAACACACCTGAATGTACTTCTGAACTCCGACAAGGGACTTCTTGAGGGCATCAAAGCTGGAGGAGTACAACATCTTCTTCTTGACCTTAGCGGTGTCTGGGCACCAGGACATAAGGAAGAGCTTCTGCTTCTTGGAGGCCTGGAACATTAATTCAGTCGTAAGTAAAAGCTTTAGGGGGAAAAAGCTAAGAGCAATGCTTAGGAGGTAAGCCTACCTCTGAGGTTCCTTGACATTGATGGGTGTACTCAAAGTCGAAGAGACCATAGCGGCATTCACCAACACCACCCTTTTGTAGGTCATCTAGGAACTGCTCATAAGCCGCATTGCGGTCCCCTGAAGAGAGAGAAGATGTGAGAATCAAGCAAATAGCCTTTCATTCTGTAAAAATTAAATAGAACTAACGCTGAGAAGAACGCTTACCAATAACCTCAACATCAATCTGCTTCTCGTCCTTAATGTAGAACACTACATAACGGTGCTTCTTGTCCTTCTTGATTTCTTCATAGGTTGTTTTACAAGCGTCTGATACTGTTACTCCAGATGCCTGAAACAAGCAGGAAAGACAGTTAGCAACCAGTCCACAGTCCCCTGTTCAACCCTTCAGTAGGTGCCAGGAAAACAAAAATTACAGACGAGCCTCAGGAAGCAGCACCCCCCTCACTTTTTGGCAAAAAAGTTGCCACGGCAGAAGAGCCGTATTGAAAAAAGGCAGCACGGCATTGAAGACTCCCCCACCAATCCAAAGGGCTTAGAACATGGATCGCAGAGTCGCCTCACCATTCGAAACAGGCCGCCTCGCCGGCTGGACGGTCAGACGGTCGGGATCAACAACCTGCACTTGCGCCCTCCCGTTCACTTCCTGGGCCGGCCCGGCCCGGCCCGCCACCCCCATTGCATTCCCCGGACCGTCCCGGACCCCACTCCAAAACACCACCCCAACCAGAGGCCGGGGAGGGGGAACCACCACAGCCGCTCCACACGCCAGCAGCCATGTCCAAATATGGGCATCCGGCGCCGGTAGCGGAGAGGGGGAGGGGAGGGGAGGGGCGTCGCGGAGGGGAGCGGGCGGGGATCAGCGAGCATGCGCAACAAGGAACAATAAGCACTTTCACTAACCGACCCGACCCGTCCCATCCTCCCCAGCAACACCAGCCGGCCGGCCGGCGTCGTTCCGCGCCGCTCAAGAAGCCTATGCCCATGCAGCAAGAACGCTACCGGCCGCCCCGCCGGCACCGCCCCGCCGGAGGCCAAACCGAGGGAAACCTATCAGATTCGCGCAAACGCGGCGAAACCCAGTCCAGCGCGACGCCATGGCGACGCTAGCGGCCGCGACCAACAAGCTTCGTGCCGAGGTGACTCAGCGCCCGAAACGGCCGCCGCGGGCAGCGGGCTTGACAGCGGGCTGTACGCAACGCAGCGACTCGGCGGGCTGCAGGTGGCGCGAGTCCGGCAGTCCAGCCGTCGCCGCCAAGCCGGCACTGGACGCCACCGCCACCGGCCGGAAGCAGGCCAAGCAGGCGCGGCAGCAGCGGCAGCGGGCCGGGCGCCACTCCGGGAGCCGCCGCTACGCCGCAACAACCGTGGCACTGCAGCGGCCAGCCACAAAAAACTAAATCCTGCCGCTAGACGGCGCTGTCATCGTCAAAGACACGCCAACGTCACCCTTCGGCCCCTCGCGGAACCAGTTCTAATGAGACACCGACGACCTTCGGTGGCAGAGGAGGGGAATGGACACCCGACCAGCTCCCGTTGCAGATCCCAAACCGGCACCGCAACAATTTGAGGGAATTCAAGGGAGCAAGAACGCGCTGCGGGGCCGGCTAGGGCCGGCTCGTCCCGACCGACAGCTTTTGGGGCAACAAGGTGGATTCTGCCTCGCCGAGCCTAGCCCTCCAGCCGGGCCGCGGACCATGACATGACGCCAGCCGAGCTCCAAGCGTCTCCGCGCGCCCGAGTCCCAGACATCTAGCGCTCGGGGCGCGGGTCCGACGCTCCCGCCAAGACGAGGCGGACGCGACACCCGAATGGACCGCCCTGCGTCCCACTTTTGTCATGACATTCCACCGACCCCAGTTTCTGGCAGAGTGGCCGATTCACAGATCGGGATCAGAGGGTGGTCGCGGCGGTACGCGTGCGGTGAACTTGAAAAGTCGCGACCTCAAATGCCGCCCGCCCAGGCCGGGCGCCGTAACATCTGGCAAGGAATCAAAGCGAGTCGCGCCGCCCTCCCACTTCCACCTTGCGGTGCAGTGTGCTTGCGCGGCTTGCGCCTCGCCAGCCAGACTCGCTGGAGACGTCGCCGCCGGCCGCGTTGCGAAACGCGGTGACGCGGCCTGCCACACCCACATCCCCGCCACACGACCGTCATGCCCGCCCTTCGAGACGAACCACAGATAAGACAACAGGTCGGCTTCGACGTGAGCCTCTGAGTCACGGAGGACCAAGACGTCGATGCAGAAAACCTCGGGCAGGCACACCTGCACGTCGTCATCGAGCCCCCCGGCCACCCTAGCCGACAGCCGTTCGAGCCATTGCCCCCAGCCTGCGGCTGAGCGCGCCGGGTGGTGCCGGCTGGCCACCCTAGCCCATGCGTGTGGGGCTAAAACTGGCTAAATATAGGGGCCAAGCGTGGCGGTGCTCTGGCGGTGCGGCGTGGAGTTTGGCGTGGCACGGCGAGGGAGAGCCCCGGCGCCGCGTAGCCGCGCTGCTGTCTAGCACGGCGAGGCGGCCCGACGGCGGCCCAGCGGGCATCGTACGGCAGGGGGGCGGACGTCCGCACGACTCACAAAGTTCGCAGAGCTGGGTCATAAACGGACCGCTCCTCATTACCCTAATTGCGGCCCAGGCGAGCGGTCAGCGCGCCGCACTGAGCACCTCGAGGTCGCGGGTTCGCGACCCCCCGCAGCTGTTTTCGTGCGGACCAGCCCCGCCCTGCATGACCCATTCAAAGACGCGCCTCTCCCTCGCAGATGAATAAAAAGGATCTAAATTTTAAGCCGCTGGCGAGCCGCCCCACATCGTCAGGCGGCCCGCGTGGGTTGACACCCAACCCCAACTATTTCTAGCGACCAGACGAAAAGCTCCACAACAACCAAGCGTCGCTTCAACAAATAAAGGGTTATAGGCTACCGAAATAGCCCTTCCCCTGAAGGGAATACAACCCGCTCACGAAAGAGCTCGTATGGTGAAGGTGCAACGCACGAGTCCTGCAAGTTCAAGGGTACTGTATTCACATCCGTCCGATAAGACAGAACCGCTACGACGGTGCATCAGCCAACACAGATAAGGAAACTGACCACCCTTCACGGACCTCAGCCCCCGAGGACTCCGCCGTGCCTGAACCGCCGACGTCAAAACGTGGCTTTCCCCTCCAAATTCGCGATGCCCTCGGTACAGCCACGCAACGCTCGCGTGCTAGGCGCAGGAAAGCGGCACGAAAGCCTGCGGCCCCTGCGGGACGGACCGAGTGCACTTTCTCGGCGGACTGTACAGACCCTCTAACATCGCTCGTTCGAGCGTGCGCGGCGTGCGCAGGAACGGGTACAGAACAAGGCGGGGCCGGGGGCAGCCCAAGGCAGGGGCAGGCAGGGGCACGCAGACACAGGCCTTGGCCGCCAATGATTCATACCCGGCCGAATCCGGACCGGACTCGGCACACGAACGCCGCCTCGACAACCCTAACCTCAACACATCCTGTCATTCGCGGCGCCCCATCGCACGAAAACACTGCCACCGTCGGCAAGCAGTGCTGATCCCCGCACATGCGCCCCCTGGGAATTGAGTACATGGGAAACAATTTCGTTCCGGCCCCCCAATGGAGCCGGTTCGAACCGCGAACAGTAATGCGTTGGCAACTACGCCGCTGTTGGGAGGTGGAGTGGAGTCAACGACCATGTCACTTTAGGCTGTCACTGTGCAAACCAGTTGCAGGACGCAAAGGGCGGAAGTGCAAAGATTTAGGGCAGAGGCCCATGCACCGACAGAAAGGCAGTGCTAAAAGCCGCCCGGGGGCCACACAAAGGGTTTGACAGCGCATCTGCCAGGCGGCAAGGGGTGCGTCAGAGGTTAGGCGTGCAACGGCCGCATTCGCACGGCCCCATTGTAACAACAACGACGTCGCAATTGACAGATGCAGACGATTTTCAAAATCAAAGCAGCTGCCAGAAGAGGAGCGAGCGGCGATGACAGCCTACTAGAACAGCCGCGCAGCTACCTGCATAGAACCAAGTGCAGGAACACTCGAATGAAGGGCTGGCGCGGTGAGGGTTCACCAAATTTCGACAGAATCAGTGGGTACGAGTGACAGCAGTGCGGAAACGAGCCTGGCATTTTACACCGATGCGTCACGTGTGGACGCCGCCCTCAGTGGCGAACACAGCGCAGAGCGATCCGATCCGGCTGGAGGCCCCATCCCATTCAGCGGGCCGGGACCGGGACCCTCACCCCAGCCGGCTCGGCTCCAATAGGGGGCCGCACATAAGCCCGGTTGGGGCCAATTTGGAATCAATTTTGAGCCGCAAGCCGAAACCGATCGACAAAATCAGGAAGCTCCGCCTACTCTCGCCCAGCAAGCAAGCACCGGGAGGGTGGGCGGTGCTAAGCTCACACGAGGCCAAACCAAAACTACGCCCCAGACGTCGCAAGCACGAACCCGGCCCTCGAGCCGGTGGAAAATTAACTCAGTTCGCGAGGATTAACTCGGCTAGAGCCATGCCCTGCACCGTTCGAGACTTCCAGACATCAAATGCAGAGCTAGAAGAAGATGGCGACAGCCGGCTTATCCTTTGCAGAACCCGACCGGTCCGCGACACTACGTGACACCGCCCTACACCCTGTTCCATTTCGCCATTTGGCCGACACGCGAGTCAACCGCGGCCCGCACACTTACCATTGTGATAGATTAGTATCCGCTTGCGTTAGTCCAGATGTGCACTTTGGTTCAAAACAACGTTAACACCGACACGGGACAAGGCGGTCGAGGACGGCAGAAGGCAGGGTGGTTTACCTCAGCCAGAGCACAACCCGCAGGACAACTACTGAATCAGGGCCCGAAGTCGGCCGCTTCTTGTATCACTCCGCCTGGCCTGTCTCTAGTTCCGTTGCAAGCCGCTCTCCCATTGGCGCGGACGGCGGCACTTCCACCAGGCGGAGCGCGGAGCCAGGCGGGTCCCCTTGGCTTGACGTTCCACAAAAATTGCACAACGTGCTGTGTTACCGAAAAAAATCGTTGACCGTCCTTAAGTTTAACAGAGCAGGGTTGAATCGACTCAGAGCGAACATTTTGAGTCATTTCACTTAACGCGACATGTTTTTGAAGTTCGTGTCGCACTACTTCTCTAGGTCGCATCACCGATTTCTCAGCATGAGTCGGCTACTACGTGAATCTGTTGAAGCTTAATGTATCTTTAGCTTGTGAATCACTCTAATCTGTACACTCGCGTCAGACGACGATTCCCAGTAAAAATTAGGGAAATATCACTCGATTTAATAATAACATACACAGGCAGGGAAAACCACGATAATGGATTGGATACATAAATAGGGTATCTTTATGACTATGTCAAGCGTACACCAATCAAATCATCGGTTAGGAGCATATAGACTATTTCAGCGGAGCCGAGAAGAAGAACAAAAGGCGAGCGGGCCACTTCCGCTTGGGTCACAACAAACAGACAACAGAGGATTTAAACATCGCCGAAAATCTCTTTTTGAAAGTTACACGGCTTTTTGAAGCTTACACATAATATTTGAGACTCATCCGAGTGAAAATAACATGTTATTGGAACCGCTGGTAGGTAGAAAACCAACGCGTCGTCTGTTTGTTGTGACCCAACCGGAAGTGACCCGCTCGCCTTTTGTTCTTCTTCTCGGCTCCGCTGAAATAGTCTATTTCCTTTTATGGTAAGGGACGGGTAATCTGCGCCAACGCGAACAAATTCAAATATATATTGCGGCCAGCTGATAACCGGCAGCCTCCTGAATAAGTCCTTGTAAAGACATCGGAACGTCACGACGGGAAAAGACCGAGAACAGCTAAAGGAGACATTTAGTGAATGCAAACTGGTTCAAGTGCTAGTCAGTGCGTCAGTGCAAAGCTGGCCGGGTGAAGTACCGGGAGTTGGGTGGAGAACATATCCAGCTGCAAAAAACTGGATTAAGATAGATAAATTGAAAAAAAAAATGCATGATGCCTGTAAAATCTTTATTTCCTTCTCCTCCTCAAGCTCAATACTAATATTGAAATATTTCAGTTCATTCAGTTTATATGTGACAAATTAAACTAAGCAAAATTCACGTTTTTCTGAATAAGGGTAACATAAATAAAAGAAACACCATGCTTGTCAGAAGCTATCACAAAACAAAGAAGTGCACACCTGGTTGCAGCACTAAATAATGTAAACAATGAAGAAGATTGCAGATGAAACATTCCCAACTGATCTGCCCAAAATACCATTTTGAGGCAATTATTCAGAGAGTCATTAAGTCTCAAGACAAGAAAATATGTTCAGACTAAATCTGGTAGAACAGACAACAACATAGCTATTTAATGGCCACCCAAATTTTAGTACGAAGGCAGTTTTACTTTTGCCACTCCATCTTTATGCCATGAAATAGCACAATTGTAACTACATTTCTCATGAGAAATGTCAACCATCTCTTAACGGTGACTTTAATGAAATGAATTGGTTGAGTCACACTCTCTCAAGACAATTGTCTTGTTATTATAAATGACTTTAATAAACTTTGACATTTTGGGTCACTATATTGTATACGCATTTGATGCATATTTATTTAGATGGACTTAACATGTCTACAAAGGTACCTATGATAATCAATCCATCCACAGTGCAACATTCTATTCTAATGCAGCACAGTTATATAACTGAGCGATAAGAGAAACTTTCTTTGACCTATATTTGTAATGCTAAGTTAATCATACATCATTTATATGTCAAATGCTTTGAGCTTAGTACATGTTTAGAGTGCTAAACCTTGACGGCAAATCATAATAAAAGCACAAGAATGATAATAATAATAATTTAAAAAAAACAAGAACGCTTGGCATTACGAATTGCATTAACTTACTGTAACACTTTACAAATGGTCTTCTTATAACTAATTAAACTATGACGTGCAGGCTGCTCAATAAATAAAAGCTCATATGGCCCAAATTACATAGAGAAAACATTCTCTTTTGAGCACAGTTTTGGGGGCACCATGTCTTGCATGACTAAAAACATACAGAGCTGAGAATTTGACATGATTGCCAACTGGGTTACACATTGCAATAAGAAGGGAGTAATTCATAAAACATAATTCTGAAGTCATCAGGAAATATTTACAAATGGGCCTAGGAATCAACAGATTAGATTAGCCCTCTTTTCTTCTTGTAGTCTTCCAGGTTCAAGGATCTTCTCGGACCCGTGTCCTTCACAGTGCTGGCAGGCTTTGGAGTAACACTCACTGGGTTGGATGCTACACAAGAAAGAATGATGTAAGCCCACAGGAAAAGATCTTATGTAGGGTAGCCACAACACTCAGTACTTACATGAAACAGGCATGTCCAGATCTATTCTTATATCAAAATCATGAGCTAAAAACAGATCTTCAGTCTTGGTCATGAGGGCTCCACCTGGTTTCCCTTTTGAATTTTTTTCTTTGTCTTTATCCTTTTCATTCTCCTCAGAGGGCTTGTCTTTGACAGCCTGTGAGGACATTAAGACCATAAATTAGGCACCACATTGAAAATTAAAAAGACAATATCAGTCTGATGGTTCCTCACCGGTGTTAATTCAGTAGGTTTCATTTCAACCGTGTCTGGCTCATCATTTGCTTTAAACACCATGCGAGGTTTCGTATGTCGCCTTGTAAATGGATCCATTACTTTCAATCCTTTGGAAGCTTTCAGTTCAGCCTAAAACAAAGGATGAGACATGAAATTTACATGGAGGTTGTTTTTGCCATGCAAACCAAACTTATGAAACATGACATTACCAAAATAGCCTTTTCAGCCTCTTCTACATTTCTTTTGCGGTTTCGGTCATTGATATATGATATACTTGATATGGTTGATGTACGCATTTTGTCTAGCTCATTAGCTCTTTCTTCTAGCTCCAACAATTTTTGTGCTAGTGTTGCGGCTTCTTCTTCATCGCCCCTTGAGATAAAAACATTTGGGTAAATTACAACCAATCAATCATTCAGTCACAATTAACAGTGTGAAACTTACTTTGAATGAGCAATATCTCGCTCCTTCATTAATTGTGTTTTCTTCATGGCATAATTGTATGTATTGTTCTGAAATCGGCTTTTTTCTTGCACAATCTGAAATTGAAACAAGAAATGATAAATGAAACAAAATTTCACAACTTACAATGATAATAAGAACTATGGGACCTAAGAACCTACTTTCTCAATATCTTCCTCCTTAAATTCATATACCATTGCTTCACGAATATCTTGCAACTTCTTCTCTACATCATCCATTGTAGGTAAGGAAATGGCTTGGAGGGCACAGGTCTCTCTCCATTTATTAAACTCACTATCAGTAAAGTCTTGATTTGAAATAAACTCCAAGCGGAAAACTCTTTCTTGTGCTCCATGTCTAATGAGAATGTGGGAGAAAAGAAATACTGTCAGGGCAAGTTCAATAAATAATTTAAAGTGGATTACTTCACTTTTCAGCCCATATTCAAACCTGAGCTTTAGTCCTTTGTTAGTGCGTGTCGTGCCAAGTTGGTAAATCTTCCCTGTTTCACATACACCACTTATTTCAGCAACCTACATGATCAAAGGACAGACATAAATAGTGTTGACAAGAGAAAAACAAAAGTTTTGAGAAATTGACAAATTCATGAGCTAAATTCTTACTCTGTACACAGGCACATTGTTGTGATTTCCAATGCCTATTCTCACAAAGCATCCTTCTACAACTCGATTGAAAAAAGGCAAATGCACAAATCTGTTCAGATAAATGAAAAAAATAAAGAAAAAGATTTCATCATTTTAAAAAGAATAATACACAAAAAAATTACATGTTCAAACAGAATTAACAAACCTTTCAAGCTTATGGCGGGATAATCTGATTTTAGTGATATCTTCCTTCTTAGCTATAACTTGAGTTTTCTTAGATTTTGTCTTGGAACTGGACACTGACCTGTCATAATAAGCAAGTTATGAGAAAGGCTGCAGATACAGGGTAAACACCTAGGAGTGCCCACTAACCTTTTATCAGAGTCTGAACCAGAGCCACTGCTGCTACTACCACTACTGCTTGAACGTCTTCCTCTCCGGCTTCCTTTCTCACTCTTATCACTTTCCGAACCACTGTCATCGCTATAAATATCTGATGCTTTCAGTTTGGTACGGGAGCTTCCTCCTCCAGCAGACTTTCCATCAGAGTCATCGCCATCCCGGTCATCCTTGTCATCGTCACTACCCCTACCTTTCTCTTCTTCTCGTTTCTTTTCATCATCTACCCTCTTCTGACGTTCACTTTCCTCTGCAGGAAATCAGTTTCATAAATTTAAGAGAGAAAAGCGAAAATGAAGTTAAAAAGAATAGTTAAAACCAGGAAATTACCTCTTTTTAGTTTCTCTTCACGGCGTTTTTTCAACATGTCCATAGCAGCAGCCTTTTTGTTTTCTGTTCTCCCTCTATTTTCTTCAACAGTTTTCTTTCTCTCTTTGCTCCTCTCTTTAGGATCCATCTTAAGTTCTTTCTTCTTGTCATGGTCTTTCTTTTTCTTCATCTCTTGCTTTTTGGCCAGCCTCAGCTTTTTCTCTATTTCAAACCTACCAAGTTCAAAGTAAGAATACAATGCAGATAGCAAAAGCAAGCTGACCATTCAAAATAGCAATCCTAAAAATACCTTGTTTTCATCACTTCACGATGTTCAATACGTTTGAAAATTTCTTGCTCACGCTCTTTTTCCGTCATCTGTGCCAATCTAGCTTGATCTTCCTCATCTCCCATTAAGTTTTCATCATATCCATCATTGAATTCCTCTTGACTGGAGTCTGAATCGTCAGAATCTGATCCGCTGTCAGACACCTCACCTGCCAAACAAAGTCAAAATAATTCTACATTACAAATCCTGTGCAAAAAATCATACCTCAAACATGATCAAATTAAAGATGGTTCCTTCAGTTGATCAATGATACAGCCCCTGTGACGTGTTGATAATGAAAACCCACTTGTTATGAAACACAGAGATATCAACAAACCTTCTTCAGGCTCAGATGTTTTCCCCTTTGCAGTAGGGCGTTCATCTCCACTGTCTGAATCGGAGGAGGATGAAGATGAAGATCTAGTCATGGTACGTTTTCCAGTCCTCTTTGCAGCCTTTGGTTTCTTCTTCTTACTAGTTCCTTTGGCGTCCCACTCTCCATCAGACCCAGAAGACGTATCAGAATCAGTGAAAACTTTCCCCTTTTTGGGCCCAGAGCTTTCATTCGGAGATCCATCATTTTTGGCTTTCTTCTTAAGGCTGGTCAGCAATTCCTACAAGGGAAAGAGAGATAAAACAATGAAACAAGCGAATTTAAAACAAATGCATGAAACATTTAATAGAAGGATTAGATATATTGGCATGACAATCTAGTGGTTGAATGAGGCAGCTTGTAAACATAACCTCCAAATGACTTGAAAACAAAATTCCGGATTCAGCATTTCAAGATCATTCCGAAAGCATTTTACGACAGGATAACTGATTTTAAAGAAAAATCAACAACGGCGTGCGAGTAATTGCATCTTTGTGCGACAATAAAATACGTCGCAGCAGACGCGGGACGTTGAGCATCGGTCATCCCCAACCTCTCTGCACTGTAAGTACACATTTACATGCAACCAAACATGGCTCTACGAAAATTATAGGCAACCAAATGCAACGGCGAGTCTGACACACGTTACTTTCATTCTTTTCAGAAGGTGACCCAGGGAATAATGTGGTCGATACTCACCTTATCAACATCGGAGTCACTGCTGTCGCTTTCGTTAGAATCAGAATCCAGGGGAATTTTTCTCTTGGACATTCTCGTGGCGGGTGTGATTTGGCTGCGAAATCGCTGTCACAACCGTCCACTTAACAGCAAAAACGCAACGCAAAGGACGAAAATGGTACCTGACAAGTACAAGTAAGTAGGAGAAGGTAAGAGGGAGAGAGAGAGATGGATGTATATTTCTCTCTTCGTCTGTGTTGCTTTCGAAACACACCGCCTTTGAAAAAGCACGGACTCACGCGACAATAGCCAACTTAATCATTAATCGTGGAGTCCTACTGCTGCTTCTGTATTTTCAAGTCTTGATTCGAAGCAAAAAAATGAAAACAAAATGGTGAGTCAGGCCATTTACGTACATCCTGCTGCTCTGCAATATTCTGTTTCTTTCCAAGCTTTTTTTCCCTTTTTTCTCTGAGGATTCACAGGTCTCGGTCAGAAAATCCGCTTCCGGTTCACTGGTTTTTAATCGTTTGAAACATATAATAGATTAAACAGCCCCATTCAATCTATCACTGAACACATCCACTTGTCAAAGCTGTCTCTTTTAAAGATTGACCTCTGCCTGCTTTTCTTGTTATCAATGGCGTGAAACGTGGTCCCATGGCCACTTTATATTTCAATTGGACTCATGGAAGTCCTTACTTCAGAAACATTTTGAGAATTCTTGAATCACATAATCACAGTATGAATGTTAACTGATATTATGTTCTACTGTCTTATCATCCACATTTTCCACATCCATTATTACATAGGTTCCATTTGATAATGTATACAGAGCATCAGAAGAAGACAATGCTTCATTTGTGTTGAACACAACGAATTGTTCAGTAATTGAGTCAGAAACTTGAAGGAGAATGTTTTCAGAATTTTTGCCATGATGTGTGTTTGTTGAAGGGTCATGCTGTGACTTCTTTTTCTTGGGTGTCAGTTTCAAAAGCGGCGTCTCAGTTGCTCCACTTTTTAATTCTGTGTTGAGGGGGCTTAGTTCGCATATTTCTTCCACCACCAAAGGAGTCTTACATGTTTGCTTCTGTGTTTGGTTAGGAGTAGGACTTTCCTCACAATGGTTAACAGCAGGGATTTTAGGAAGAGTTCCATTTGATCGACCATATCTGATAACACTTCGTTGACATGTTGACTGTTTCTTAATAGGTAGATTATTTTCCGGTGAAGACACATTGGAATTGTCTACAGCACTTGCAGTTGAAGATGACTTTTTCTTGGTTCCAAGTTGATCTTGGAGTGTTTCTCCATCTTTGTGATATCGCTTGAAATGGGCCTTGAACTTATCACTACGGTTTGTTTGATATGAGCATAGAGGACACTTTTCAGGATCAGCAGATGGATTATGAGAAGCAGCGTGCCGTCGGAGGTTTTTGTTCTGTGAAAATGCTTGACCACAGACCTCACATTGATATGGCTTTTGTTTAGAGTGAGTCATAAGATGGTGCTTAACACTTGCTCTTCGCACTGAGCTAAATTGGCAATCAGGCTTTGGACACTTAAACTTTTCTCCTGAATGAGCTGCTTTATGATCAATGAATGACCTCAAATGTGCGGTGCTGAATCCACATTGATCACAGAGGAATGACTTCAACTTTGAATGAGTCACCATGTGACTTCGAAGCCCATGCTTCCACTTGAAACCTCTTCCACATTCCTTGCAAATGAAAGGAGTTTCATTCGTATGCCGTACAATGTGGGAATTGAGAGCAGTTCTTGTTTGAAATCGGGTGCTGCAGGTCAAACAAAAGAATGGTTGAGCCTGTTCATGAATTTGAAGGTGCTCTTTCAGGCTTTGACTGCAGCTGACTTCTAATAGGCATATTGAACAGACTTTTTCACCATGGTCCATTTCTTGAAGATGCTTGATTACATCAGGTACTCGAATACTGGTGTAATTGCAAACATAGCATGATGTGTATGTCTTTCCCAAATGAGTGCCACAATGTTGCTGATATAAAGCGAGGCTCATCAAAATTAACTCACACTTAGGACATTTCATGCCACTCCATTCACTCTCATCCATATCATCACTAACTGAGACTGAATTGACAGATAAAGCAGTCACGTCTTTAGAAAGGGTAGTTCCATCCGTAGAGGTCTGCACAGTTGTTGAAGGAAACTGTTTTTCAGGATTTATGGATTTGCTCAGGACCTTTGGCTCCTCTTCAACAGGATCAACAGTTGTAGGTTCAGAGCTGGTCAGAGTTCCCAGGCAGTCATCCAAAGATTTGATCCGGTCTGAATGCTTTCTGCAAATCTTGAGCAGCTCTGACACTTGTAAACTTTCACTCACTGCTTTGATATGCTCTAAATGTAAATCATCGATCTGTATCTTACCCAGGTACATGAAGTCAATTACTTTCGTTGCACAATCTAGACACTTGAATTTAGCATTACAGGGCATGAGGCACGATATAGTTCCTGCTGAAGTTCGAGTGGCACAAGATGACAGCGGCATAACCTCCCCCGATGACAAGAAATTGTCCACGAAGGGACTGAAAGCGGCGACAACACATGAGTGTGCTCTCAATTCCACTTCCCCAAATATCAAAGTAATGTCGCAGTAACTATTTGTTTTTTTCTGAGCGAATAAACTTGAAATAAGTTTGTTTGGAACATTGAGAGAAGAACTGCTACAATGAGCCATGTCGTCTGTCTGTGTATGATGACAAAACTTAAATTTTTCATATTTTCTTGCGGGTATTTTTCATACTCGCATCACGTAGTTTGGGAGGCGGGAAAAGCGTCCGCGAGACTTCCCTGTGCTCTCGCTAAGCAACGCTGCCCTAGAGCCCTAGAGAGCCCTACTCAAGTGGAATATGAGTTTGGCACTGTTTTGTAGCCCGGACTGTAGTAAATTAAGTTTGAGGATGCACAAGAGTAAATTGAAACTCATTAAATTATTGAGTAGTTTTAATAAAAACAATATTTATAGATGCAACATGAAGTTTTGATGATCAATATAAACTTCACACATGAACCATGACAATTTGAAAATATTGCCCGATTGCAGGAAACGGTAAGATCACAAAATCCATTTGCTTTCAATGAATCACACACACAGCAAAGCTTTAGAGCTCCTTATTATCAATGAAACAAAACGGAATACAAATGTTACAAAATCTGAAGATACTCCAACACCGAGAGAGTTCCCTGGCCTCCAATAGTTGTACCATTTTATGTTTAATTTGTGCCTCCACGGCAAAGTTCAACCCAGTGTATGTGTATCTATGGAGTCTGGTCCAAATAAGAGAGTTTCATTCATCAGTTTCTGCTCAGTTGGTAATGTTACCTTTGTCAATTTCGAAGTTGGGAAGAGAAATTGCGAATATGTAATACTGTTTCAATCCATCCAGCAAAATAGGAAAACTATAATAAAATGGATCAGAAACATTTGTCAAACTAAAACTAGCTAAGACATCATTTCTCTACCAAGAAGCTATATTGTGCTACTTTTTCTTGATAGTTCATTAACTCCTTACAAACAATTAATAAGGGTGAGCCCTGGTTTAAAATATGAAATAAATTTAACTTTATGCTCTTGAAATTGGTCCAATAATTGCTGCAAATGAGTTATGACTACACCAGTCTTCAATGAAAAGCAGCTCAATGGTACTGGCTTATGTCACAGCACCACATCCACCATCAAGCACTTCTCACAAAAAGCTTTAAATGTGGAGATGCAATATTTTTCTCCATTCAGTTAGCATTGCTTAGAGGCATGATACAAATGATTCGATACAGCATAATTTTTGAAACTGCAATAAAATTATATTGCAATAAGCAACACTGCACATTAACCATGTAATGTAATATACAAAAATTAAGATATTTTCTTCCTAAAAAAAGGCCAACTGCATAAGGCAGTTAACAACTAATCCATTCCACCAGTTCAGAAATTCAGGGTCTCAATAGATGGACATCAGTCAATAAATGACAAAAGAAACTTTGCTTATGAACTAGAAAACCAATTTAGTCACTCGAGATATGCTGAAAAACACGCTTGTAAGTTCAAAATAAAATATCAACATCCATTCAAAAATTTAGAATAAGCACTTGTAGTGGCAGGCTACATACATACAGACAGACCTCAAGTTCCATTTATAGTTGCTACAGTGTTCAAAAGACACAATTATTTTTTTTTGCAGAACAGCAAAAGAAAAGTATTTACTTTGAGCAATGATAATTCAACAAACATTATGCTGATGTATAAAATATTTCATTACATTCATAAGTGGTTTGCCAACAATATGTGAGTAAGAGACTCAATTAGATTTAATATTGACTAAATAGTGAGTAATTGATCTACAAGAAACTAGTAAAGTGCTTATCATCAGATACAATTGAGTGTGTTCGGCAATGTACACACATCAACCTTTCTTAGCAGAACAAAAATCTCACACAAAACTCATAATGACAGTATGGATGAAGATGATGATACAAATAAATAGAAACTAACAGTAGAGATAAGGTCCAAAGTTTAAGAGGAGGTGATCCAGGATTTAAGTTGAGGTAACAGGGATTGACAAGAATTAAAACAAATCTGCACTAAATCCAGTCACCAACTTAGATGAAGAAATGTGGGGGCCTTAGAAACCATGTGTTTAAAGCACAAATAATGAAAATAAATTTTTATGAAGATAAAAACAGACCACTTACATGGTTAACTTTGGCACAGCTAGGACAACACTAAAATAAACTGTTCACTATGGTTGACACGTTAGTTGGTCAAATTTGTGCCTTAAATTTCCCATGAAGGACCAGTTATTTAACAATTACTGTCATTGCTTGAGCTTTCAGTTTCTAAGGGAAATTAGTTAATGGGTCTGAACTGGGGCAACAAATATAGAGACTTTCCAGGGAATGATTATGAAAATGGAAACTATAATATTAAGTAACAAAGGAAGTTAAGTTCCTTTGGTAAACTTCAGTTTAGTTCTTTCAGAGAAAAATTTAAGTAACCAATTTTATTTGCATTGAATAGTATGGCGAATTTGTGCAAGATGGTAAAAGGCAGAGATGTCAGTCTTGTAAAGGCCTTGATGCTGTGATGGTTGGGAAGAATGATTGAACAGAAAACATCAAACATCTTAATGTGCTCAACTAAACCGCACAGGACGGATGGCATCCAAAATAATCCCCTGGCAAAGTTAGAGAAATTGTGACAACAATACTGGGTCGATTATTTGCCTCAAAATTCATTTTATTAGACTCACTTGAGATATCAATTGTCATGTGTTGAATAAGATATATTTGACACACATCACCTATGACACCGATAAAGTTCACTTCACTGCACTCAGGCCATATTATTTTAAAAAAAAAAAAAAAAAGTAAGAAATCAGAATGGAACGACCTGTGATGGGACTTTGTTAAGAGATGCTCTTGTCTAACCTCTCCAATAAGTTCACAAGAAGAATGAGTCCACTTAATAGTCATCAAGATCATACACTTCCGCATAATCTAGATCTTCACATTGGAGACTCTGGAAGTCCACCTTGTAACGAAGTAGCCCTGTAATGCAAACCAAAATATCAGAACAGTACCAATGTTTGATGGACACTTAAAAAGAAACTTAAAGCTGACATTGAGCAACTTTTCCTTTACAAAAGAGACTTGAAATTAATTTGAGAAAAGGTGGATAATAATGATAATGATAGATACACCCTCTTCCCATCACACAAAGCAAACCTGACCAAAAATAAAATGTAGTCAAGGTTTACTTTAGATGTAAAAGCAACGGCTTCTAGTCATGTTGTCATGCAAACAATTTTAATGTTTTACATTTGTGGGGTTCCACTATCACTAAGAGTTTCCAAGTTTCTATCACAACATTTGGATACGGACACACACACACACACACACACACGCGCACACGCAAACACACATACATATATATGTGTGTGTGTGTGTGTGTGTGTGCATACACACGTGTCCAAATATCACTAGAAAAAAAATATATCATGTACAAAATAGGCAAACAAATGGTGCTAGTTACATGAAATGAACAAAAGAAGCATTATTTTTTAATGCACAAGAGGAAAAAGTGAAAAACAATATTTTAACATGCAATGGTTAAAAAAAAATTCTAAAGGCAAGAAAATTTTCTGTTTTAAAAATTAATTAAGGGAAAATGAAGGAAGCCATGCACAACAAGAATGTGTAAGAGACAGGACATGCTCATGCTATCTCATGCTAAAAGTTGATTGATTTTCAACACTTATGAAAGAGAAGACTTGTCATATGGTAAAGTTAACACAACCGACCCCTTGGAAGAGTAGTCACTTCACATTATGCACCAAACACACAGATATTTCATTAAGAACTTAAAACCACGCTTCTTTGCACCATTTCCTCATTCAGTGTGACTCAAAGGAAACCAAATTTAACCAGGAAACTATTCAGAGCAATTCAAACTTGAGTAAGCAATTCATTATAGGGTATATGGAAGAACTATTCTGGCTTCAATACAAGTCAGACTCAGATTCAAAGAGCAACCAATGAGATAAATGGCGAAAGAACAGCAACCTAAGATGATGACCACTACACCATAGATATCAAAACATAAAAAATTAAATAAAACAGCTGCAAACTCAACAAACTGCATAAAACTGAAAACAAAAGAGTCTCATTTACCAAAACTAGTAAACTAAACAAAACAAATGGAGTGCTTATAGTTCTGAAGATAATTCACTCTATTTGCATCAATGGACTAGACCACTAGACTTCTAAAAACACCAAGCTACACAAGTGTCACAAGTGAGTGACAAAACTGCTCTACCTGATGATGATACAATTCGTTCTGAGAATGGACGAGATGAGACTTAGTTTAGTAATCATCTAAGTCAACGTCCTCCAGAGGTTCATCTGCTTGTAGACTTTGGAAGTCTACTTTGTAGCGAAGTATTCCTGGATTGGGTTATAACAAACACACAGCAAAGCTTAGCCCATGTTTTCTTTTACATTTGCTATCCTATTTCAAAACCAAGAAGGGTTGGATGACACATTATCTAATAATAAACCCAAACTGACATGCAAAAAGGTATTCCTGAAACAAGATGGGATGAAGACGCCTTCAGAGGACCATAAAACAAGATGAGATTCAGACCACCATGCAAAACCACTGAATAGAGACCAGAAGCAAGAACACCACAGGAACCGATGTCCTTCTGAGGAGAGTTAAGACAATCTTGGTATGTAGCAAAGTATGTCAATAAACCCCCAAAAATTAGAGTTAATGCACCAGCACAGTGATAGGTCTTAGGATGATATTGGTGGATCATAGAAATGGATTTAACATTTTTAGAAATGCCGAGAGGAGATGAGCTGCAGTGTATTATGAGTAAAGGCCATGGACACAACTCAAAACCAGAAGCAAGGTTACTTCTATCAGCACTAAGAGGAGTACATATTTCACATTTCAAAATTGGCATCAAATTGAAAGGTTCAGGAACATGTGCTCATTGGAAGTCAAATCAGGGGCGTGGCAGAGTTCAAGAATGTACTGACCTCCAATACCACCGAAGCCTCTGACATACTGAGAACCCTCTTGAGACTTGTCAGTGATAATTTCCAAGGTTGCACCAAAGGTCTTGTAGTTGTTAGCAAGCCACTCCAAGAGGGGCTGGCACTCCACCAACTCTAATTCGACTCCACTCTGGAATAAATACCAAAGCAAACAGTAGAATTTAAATCAGGAAAAACAACCAAAAATGTATAAAATTACAATAAAAAAATGTTTTAAACTAAATGTGACTCAATAAAAAATACAACAGCCTTGTTCAGGAGTTGGTAAATATTGCTTACATCTTTGTCTGTGAAATGAGATTTATCTTTTTCTTGTTCTGGGGTGAGGTGAAGTACTTTCTCTTCTGATGTTGAATGATTTTTAAGAACATAACGCTGGATATCCAAATTTTCCCAGCATATAAGAATCTCAACAGAACCAAGTTCAAGAGCTTTCAATGTATCCTCTACTCCAAAGCAGTACTTTCCTGTATCTTGACTAATTTCGTCAAAGTAGCGTCCTGAGAAAATAGCAGAAAAATTTATAACACAAGCAAACATAGATGGTTTCAGCCAGTTTTGTGGTATGAATGTTACCTATGAGCTTCTTCTCTTGAATGAACTTGACATTTTGCAATGACTCAGCAGCAAGTTCGATGGCTTGATTAAAACCATTTTCTCCACCATAAGATACATCCACCAGCTTGATCACTTTTGCTTGAAGGCGCTACAAATCATAAAAAAAAGATAAAGCATTTCCTAGGAGCACCTACCATTCATTACAAATATCAATCCCAGAAGAGCAGACATTTATGTTGACTCATACTTACAGGATCAAACATATCAGACTGACTAAGTTCTGTCTTGAAATCAGCACTACCAGCAAGAATTAAACCAGCAATATTCGGCTTATCATTACTGATGAACAACTGTGTTGCAACTTCAGCAACTTTTCTGACATAGTTGTGTCGTTTTTCCATTCTCAAACGTGCAAAACGCAATGCAGACTGACCTCCTCTACCTACAAAGACACATTAGTTAGCACGACAAGGGGAATAAAAAATGGACTAAAGAGTGGATTTTAAATCACAAAAAGCTCACCGTGTTTTTTTGGAAGATCAACAGTGAATTTGTGAAGTACTTCTCGTGTGTTACCTTGAAGTGTACCAAATAATGCACCGTTACCATCCATGACAATGAAACCAAACTTATTGTCATCCGCAAGAAGTGCTGTCAGAGCTTCTGTGTGGAACTATAAGTAAAATTGTTAGAAGATGAAAAATCTTGTAAAAAATATCAGAAAAGTGCATAAATAGAAAAGTTACCTTGTTGTCACAGAGATACAGGGATGTGTTGATTGGCTTAAAAGGCTCAAAGTCGATGTTGACTTTCTTTTCTTTACCCTCATCAGTAACAATTGTACCACAATAAATTACTAATCCATTAGGGGGCACTGCAAACAAAAATTTAAAATAGTAGTAAACACAGTTTTACAAACAACTGTAAAACACAATAAAAATCCCATGATGATATCTACCTTTTGTATAAAGTTTCAACCGGTGCTGTACTGATGTGATGGCACCCAGAACAGATAGCCTGTTAACTCTGGACTTGATGTTTGAAGCAGTTCCAAATTCATCGGCCAACATTTTGCTTACTCGTGATATCTGATCTTTTGGAGGAATGATGAGGGAAATCATACTGGTTCCATTCCTGTAAGCAAGATTTAAATCAATTAACTTTCCAACGACATTCTGGAAATAAAATTATTGATAACAGGTGTGAAACTGGGCAGGGCAATAAAGCCAAATGTGGAACATACAAAGAAAAGGAAGTTTTAACAGTGGGATTAGGGGTTGGAGAAATTAACTTTCTAAAATATAATCTCATATAAACATTTACACAAATAATGTATTATTATATAGCATGGGAACAAGTGACTAAAATCATACAAGACAGCATGGCATCAAACGCAATAGAAAGAACCTTGCACATGAGAGATCATTTCTGAGAAGCTACTTTTATCTAGGGAAACAGTCTAATCCATATGGGATGTAGGAACAGTGAGCTATACAATGGGCATATATTTATTCAGGAACAAGTTAAAATTATCCAGTTACGAACATTTTAAAGTGAGCCACAGAGTGTCGATAGCGAAATCTTGTGGTTAAAGCTTTAATAGTGACAAATGGATAGCGTGACTTGGCCATGACAACGACCTAACCTAAAAGTAAAGTGTCGAGCAGCAACAAAATCACACAAAAAATTGAGGTTGAAGCCAGTATATGACAGAGAACTTCCTGAATAAAGAATCCTTCAACTCAGTAGCGCACAAAACTAACAAATAAATTTAGCAGAAGCACATGACTTACCCTCTAGCCATTTCCAAACTTTTGATCAGTTTTTTGATTTTCCATATTTCAACATTCCGATCAGAAGACGTTTCTTCGTGGGAAGTCATTTTGACTTTCTCTTGTGAATATTACCCTAATTCTAAAGCTACAAACACTAAACAGAAACAGAACAAATTTCACTATGTGAAGTTCGTCCGTAGCTGTTCGTGGCAATTGGCAAAATGGCGAACTGCAGCCGGTCGCAGCCTTGTGGTCAACGGGCTGAAACTGGATTTAACCAGATAATCCAACTTCACTTCAGTTCAGTCGAGACACGGCTACACAACAAGAACCTTACGACGAAAACAGGGTCATAGGCCCCGTGATGGCATTAACTCTTTGGGGTAGTGATCCAAATTTATTTCTGTTCAAAAGGGTGCAAAAATGGTCCGATCCGGTGCTTTTCTTTTTCTTTTCTTTTTCTTTCGTTTATGAAACCCATCCCGGGAATTCCAGGGGTTGGAAAGGGGTGGAAAAATTATTCTTTCGGAAATCAAACGTATAAATTCAGAGTGATTGTTATAAATGATCTATGTGACACAAAAAGTATACGATATAGTACCAGGGAAATCCTAGGACGGCGTTGTGGAGAGATGACGAAACGTCATAGCAACCCCACGAAGTGTATTCGATTCAAACTGCCCGCTTCTTCTTTTCCTTAGACTACTTATTTGCAGTGGCAGTGGCGACTGTTGACACGACATCAACACAAATACAAACAAACAAGTAGATGTAGCTTTGGAGTAATGCTGTGTAGTAAATGTTTTCACCAAAGCGTGACGATAATTTCGGCGTCTGAATATTACGAGTGTGGCCATATTCCGATAGATTCCGCTCTTTCAACACTCATGTCGCCTTGAGTTGCCATCACGAATACTAAGTGTCACTTTCTCAAATACTTGTCATTTCCTTCTGGTAGCAACAAGGACTCACTGGTAAGACATAGAAAAAACCTTTATGATTTAAAGGAAAGGACTCTTTTTCATTGTTTAAACAATGATTCCATGTCAATTGTTTGTTTAGGTTTGTTGTCATGAGTGGTTTCCAATCAGACAAGAACAAGCAAGACGAAACTCAAAGGATCCTACTGCGACATGGAAAGAAAGGAAACTTCAAATGGGCAACCTTCCAGTGCAAACGCTTCAGCCACAATGGATTTTGGCCGAAATGAAGTAGCTTCCCATCCTCAGAATTTAAATTCAGATGTCTCATCTAATATCCTTCACTCTACAAATATTAATGAATGTGTCAATAGTTTGATAGATTGTACGTCTTGCCCAAATGAAGTAGAAGGTCAGAGGCTGTGTGTAATAAAGGATGGTACTACCAAGTCCTTTGCTCAGAAGGTGCAAGGTCAATCATCTGGAGGAAGGACCTTAACGTTTTTAAAGGTAAAGGTCCCTGGAAATCAAAAGGATGCTGGTGCTGGAACCTTGCAAAAATTAAGTGCTTCTCATCCCCTACACAACCAATCTGAATCTTCCGAAAGATCATTGATAACAGGCAAAAATCACAAAAAGATGAAGAATCTACGCAGAATTCAACCCCAAGACTCTCGTATTTCTGTCATTGATGGGAGTAAGAAAGAGGAGTGGCTGCAATCAGAGCCTATGAAACAGTCAGTTTCCTGTAAAAGCTCAGCATTGTTAGAAGAGGATTTTCCAGACTTGGCAGTTGCCTTCAAAGCTCTACCAAAATGCACTGTGAGGTATGAATTCGACACACCAGCACAGATTGGGGAGAAATGTGATGATACTTCACTCCAACTTTGCCATGTGACTACTTCAAGTGGGCGAAAGTTCAAAAAGAAACAGCCTCGTCGGAGAGATCCTATTTCTGTCAACATCATTGACATCATAAAAGTGAGTCTTGAAATCATTTGTGCATTGAAACTTAGTAAGCCACCTATTTCAACTTTTCTTCTTTTATTTCAGAAAACTGACTCATGCATCAGAATTTCACCAAAAAATCTTCGTAAAATTAAAAACAAAGATCATGAAAGAAAAACATTAGGTGCAAACTATTTGGACTCATCAAACCCAGTTCGTAAAAGAGGAAAGCACAGAGAAGCAGGTCCCAGGAAAAAAATGTCTAAATTGAAGCACATAATTTTGAACGAACGAATCAAGAAGCAAGAGCAAAGAGGGGGTCAAGTTAAAGAGATTAGTTTGGAGCCTGATGAGAAAGAAAAACCATCAGTCACTTCTGTTTGTGACGGAATTGTTTCTCTAAGCATTGACCAATGCAGTCAGCTGCTCAAAGCTAGTGATTGTTCTCATACTAGAGGAGAAATCAGTGATTTTGTAAACTCTGCCTTGTCAAATAATTCCGGTCCTCCAGAAGTGGCAAATACTGTTCCTGCAAAATTCCAGCTGAACAACATCCCTTTGGGTTTTCACAGCAGAAAATTTAGAGAGTGGGTACATTTTTGTTTGAATATGTGACTCTGTGCCTACATCAATTTTGGTTTTCAGTAAATTACTGTGTGTATCCTTGCAGCTACTGTGATAATATGAGAAGCAAGGCATTAGATGAAGCAGTCACTAATTTGTTGAAGACAATTCATGGATTTCAAGACCGCCATTATCAAAAGGATCCCATCCGTGCTCATGCTAAACGACGTTTTGTTCTTGGCATACGTGAAGTGAAGAAGTACCTTATGCTGAAAAAGCTCAAGTTTATTGTGATAGCTCCTGATTTGGAGCCAGTTAAATCTCCTGGTAAGTAGAGGCATTCAAAACCATTGCCACCTATTTCTTGTTCTTAAGGATTAAAAAAAAAAAAAAAAAAAACTTTGATTACATCTTTGTTTTTCTTCTTTTTAAGGTGGTCTTGATGAAACTGTGATTCAGATTCGAGAAGAAGGCAGGACTCAACAAATTCCTGTTGTATTTGCTGTAGGAAGGCGTCAATTAGGTTTTGCTCTAATGAGGAAAGTTCCCATCAGTATTGTTGGAATTATTAGTCCAGAGGGAGCAGAGGTTTGTCAAACAATTATTTTGATTTTAAAAAATTGTTGAGAGTTGCATGTTTTAAATGTTTTTCCTGTTTTTATTACAGGAACTTTACAGAGAAGTTCTGACCCAATGGCACATTGCCATTGACAGTTATCAAAAAAAGGTTTCAGAACTTTGCTGCTCTTCAGAAATTAAGTAACTGTTGTGATGCTTCCTATTCTCAGTCAGTGTTTTTCTATTTTAAAAAAATTTGTTGGATTCCATTTTTTTTTCAAATAAATTTTTGATACATCTTGTATGATAAATCAAAGAGTTTTTATTATTTCTCAGTGAAAATGGGGCAAACAGGGAAACAGGTTAAAGTCTGCACTTGCGTCTTTTTTGACACCGCGTGTTGTGAGTCGCCTGCCGCCCCCAGGGGCGACAGAAACCAGCAACACATCAGAGTGGGAAACAAATCAAGAAATGGACGCGACTTCTTACACGGCGCCGCGCGGGCGAGCGGCCGAGTGCGCATGGTGTGTGCCGTCAAGGGAGGTCGCGGGGAAGTCCCACGCAGTGACGCGCGTGCTGCGCTGCCGTGCGCTGCCGTGCGGGTCTGCCTATCTCAACTCCCACTGGCGCTTCCGCCCTCACTTACCTTGCTTAGCTTGCGGTACTTACGGCAGCTTGCGGACGGAAGCAGCAGGGGTTCCACTCGACCGATTTGGGTTTCCCTCCGTTAGAGATGCAGTCTGAAGAGTTTACACGCGGCCTTTTTCAAGCCAAGGCGCGAATGGGCTGTCCCAGAGTCCCAGCCAGATAGCCAGCCACAGCCCTCGCGCAAGGTGCGGTTGGGGTCGTACTGCTGATTGTTGCCTCCCCACCGTAATTGTTAGACCTTGTTTTGGTCAGCCCCACGGCGCCCTCGACGCTGTGGTGCCCTGTGGTGTGCCGCCATCGTCAGGATGTGGCATCAGTGACGCGCAACCTGTGGTCACCCCGAACTGCCCCCTGCACCAGACGATGGATGCCGTCATCGAGGCCGGCGTGGAGGACACCGGGACCGAGGTAGAGCAGATTTCCAGCGATGCTGGTCCGCCGTGCGGAGCGATCTACGCTGTAAGTCCCATCGGCGAGCCGAGAGGGCTCACCATAGACAGAAAGGAGCTATTTCCAACCCAAATTTTGCCCTCGTGCATAGGATCAGCAATGCGAACTGAAAGAGGGGCAAGTACTGCATGACGACGGGGAAATTCTTCTCGTACAGGGACTGCAAGACTTCCAGGTGATGGCCCATAACAGGAACTTAGTTTCGGAATTTGGGACATAGTTGACCCGGGCATCGGCAATGTAAACACCGCTGCGTTTACAGGGCGTGATATCTGAGACGGTGGTGGTGGATGAGGGCCACCAAGAGGGCCACCAGCAGCAGAGTGCCTCCATGCCGGGGCTGCCCCGTGCAAACTTCGGTGGCTCCAGCTCATACCAGCAGTACCAGCCTCTCGTCGTGCAAGGATTCGTCACCAGCTCGGGCGAAGTTGTCCACGTCGTAAGTTTGACTCTTTTTCCGACATCGTCAGCGTCGCCAGTTCCGATACCGGTGCCACTCACTCACGTGTTTCCATTACCGCCGTTGCCTCAGGTCCAAGACACACCGCCCAGTGGCGGGCACAGGACGCTGAACCCGTCCGCGAACCTGCCCGGCCAGACCTACCAGCACCCCTACCAGCACCAGGCGCAGCATCAGGCGCAGCCCCAAATGATGCACCCTGATCTGTACCGGCTCATTAAGATGTTCCCCGACTTCAGCACCAAGACACTCCATCGGATCTTTGGTATTACTCTGTCAGCCAGCCACTGTCTGGGCATTTCCTCCGCCTCCGTCTAAAGCGGCGCCTCGTTGCCACATGGTCATGACATGGTGCCACAGTGATGTGCCGCTGCGACCTGAAGCGCTCGTTGGACCAGGCTCTGTTCGCGCGGCAATTCCGGCAGCTGGACTCGCAGTCCTACAGCCCCATCGCGCCGACCTCCGCGGCCATGGCCCCGCCGCACTTCCCGGCCGCGCCCTACCGCACCCCCGTCAGGGCGCCTTACATGCAAGTAGGTGGGGCAAGGCCTTGGGGCCTGCCGGCACTGGGCAGCGCACGCCAATCCGATTTGCATTCGTCTTGACTCACCATGTACTTGCGGTGTGCCGTGCCACAACAGATGGGAGTGGACCTGGGCGACGTGTACCCGCCTCGAGGGAGAGCCAGCCACGGGGCCACGGCTGCCCCGGCTCCCCCACCGCTTTCGTCCCAGTCGTCGGCGCCTATCCTGCTGTACCAGCAAGCCTCGGGCATGCAGCCTCTCGGACTCGGCCAGCAGCTCCCCGACGTGGACGACGCCGAGGTGGTTGAGATCAAGTTGTCGGACCTGTCGTCCGACGTCCAAATCGGCACGTGCCAGAGTCTGGGCGACAGCGACAGCCTGGGGCAAAGTCTGGGGCTGGGGCTGCTGTCGACCGCGGACGGGGACAACGGCGCCAGTCTGGGTCCTGGAGGTGACAGCGCGGAACGGGGCGACAAGGTTTGCTATACAACTACACATTTTACACGACATTCGCCATGGCCGCAACCTTCTATCTTCGTGTCCTTGTCGATGCAGGATGCAGATTCGAAAGACGTGCTGCCTGACTTGGCCGAGGTAACTGTCGAAGACTCGTCTCATGTCACCAAAACAGAACCGACTGTAGTGTGCTAGCTGGACCAACCTCGTGAGAGGGAAGTACCTTTTACAGTAGCCAGTAAGAGGACTTCACTTGAAGGAGTGTCATGTACATAACTTATGTGTAGCATAAAAGTGTATCTTAAGAAATACTTATAGTATGAACATTCTCAAATATTCTTTGGGCAGTATGATTTTTCTTTCTTAAGACTTTGTTAACACCAGTATTATAATTCAAGACATTTTTACTTTGGAAGACATTTGAAAGATGTTTAATGTCAGAAAATAGACTATACAAAAATCAACAATATTGTTTGATTATGGGATAATAATAAATATGAAAACTATTTTAAAATTAATATGAAGCACTTAAAACTCAATTGTAAGGCACTAATGTAAAAGTAGTCTTACATAAATTTCCAAAAAGAGAGAACTTCATTACCCATCAAGACATCTTTAAAGGACTGGAAATAGTTCAGATATGTGAACTATGCTAAATAACTCATGCTTTTCATCAATGATTACCCTGCTATTAGGAAATATCCAAGAGAGATAAAAAATATCACACTTGACACATTTAAAATTTCACGAAAGGCAACTAATATCTAAGTCTACCAGGAATGGTCACTCAGGGGGTTCACACATTATTCAACAAAATGCCAAATTGACACACAAGTGGATATGGCTACTTGGAGGAAAACATACTTTTTGCTGACAAGATAAAAATGTTTTTTGTATGAAGGCAGTATGAGCCTTGTACACAAATCATCCAAGATAGGGACAGCAGACCCCTCGATTTCTTATTCTTTTTAATTATAATCATCTAATATTTACTGGGTTCACTCTGGCTGAGGCAGCTTGATTTATAGCACTGGGCAGGCAATGTCTACACAGCGCTAAGCCGCCGTCACTGAACTGGAGCTTGAAGTTGTTGCTGCTGTTGAGGTAGCTGTGTAGATGGGGCTAGTTGTGGCTGAGATTGCTGCTGCTGTTGTGTTTGTGCCAGCTGACGAAGTTGCTTTAAAACTGTTTCTAAGAGCTTCTTCTTATCCCTTTCACTTTTCTTTAAAACAGAGAACATAGTGCGCTTGTCTGCTTCGCGTAACCTAAAATGGAGAAAACCGCATAAATACAAAACAGCCCTCAGTAAAACAATCAATGTTTGAGGTAATTAGTGAACATACTTTTCAAGTAAATTAATAGCAGTGGTTGGATTTACTAGTTGGTATTTGCTGTTTTCTTGACCATAATCATGGAAGTATGTAGGCCAATCCCAAGTCATAAACAAGTCCAACAGCTGCCTAAGATCCGCAAAATAGCGGAGAAGTACACCCTCCTCTGAACCAGGAACAGGCTCAGAAGCAGCAAATTCTGAAAAAAAAAAATGATTCACTTATTTCTTTAATAAAAAAGTGATAAATGCTCACTGGGATAAAGAATGTCTCTTTGTGGCCCTCTCAATGTAGCATGAAAAAACTTACGTTCACATTGAATTGTGTCCAAATTAATTTGCTGAAGAGCACCCATAGATATTTGTTTCACATCATCGCTAAGCATCAGGCCCATGATTGAATTTGCTATATGTTCACAAGCTGCACAACATGCCTGTTGCGCAACTTCATCCTGACAGTAAAGGGTTCAAGTAAAAAATTATGACATTAAAAGATAAGCTAAATTGATTTTGAGAGCACTTACAGGTAAATTAGTAAATGACAGGAAGGTGCTTTGAAGAAATGCGATGAGATCAGTTACAAATGATGAAGCATGACCTTTGGGCTCAACCAAGAGCCAATCATAATTCTCAAGCTCCAGGAATTCACTGACTTTTCCTCTGAGTTTGTCACATATTTGATGTTCAGCATCATCTCGGGCAACTCTGAACATAGCTGATTGACCTTGGGATCGTAAAGTCAAATGGCCATCTGATCTATTTGACCTAAGAAAAAGATAACACCATTAGCTAATCCCTCAACAAATGCTCTAAATCACCTATCACCTCCTATCACCAAACAAGTTTCTTACCCAGTCATATTAGAGACGAATTCTTCAAGGAAAACAGTGGCATTCTCAAGATATCCAGTATCAATGATTATTTGAACAACTTGCAAAAGAGCAAGACTTGGCTTCCGGAAAATAGATGTTAGACACCCCGAGAAAGTTCTAGTGAGGAGCAAATTGGTAGACTTCCTAATCATATCATCAACTTCCCCTTGACTGTAAAATAAGTGGTTTAATTACAAAAAAGTTACACTTCTCTATGGGAAAATTTAAATTATGGTGGGTTTGTACCTGAGATGAAGATCCTCAGAAAACTTCAGACAAGCATATATAAATTCTTTTACTTGCTGATAAACTTTTGGGACCATGGAAGAAAATGGAAGTACTTTTGGGAAGGGGGCAACTTCCAGTGCTTCATCATGAAAGGGAAATGAACTTAAAACACTATCATACTCTTCTTGGGTTTCCACCTGAAAGAATGCAATTCAAAACTTAATTTTAGAGGACCAAAGTTCATCTATTTTGGTGCTGAAATAGTATACACTTATCAGATACATGCCTCTAGGGGAAGGAAGCACTCTTCATCCAACATTTCTCGGAAAACTTGAACCCATCTTTGCATCAGTACCTCATTGTAATGATCACGAATTTCTGTCAACAGTTCTAAAAGCTGGTTGACAGGGTAGCCATAGTTCTGAAATAAAGAAATAAATTACAAGAAGAAGAAATAACAAGAATATTAATAACAATAATAAAGACAAACTTAAGATATTCACCTGTAATGTGGTGAGGAACAACATTATCAGGTTTTTGATTTTCAACATTAGAGTGGCATCAGTACAGTAGGCCTGGAGCATGTAAAATAACAGAAGGCATAAAATATTTTTACTCCGGAAACAGTTTTTTGTTTTATGAACACAAAAATTAAAAAAAAGGACTTACAGAATGAGTTCGAAGAGCATTCACAATTTTGCTCAAGGCCATGCCCCACAGCTCATCAAGGTAAGAGCGGCTCACAAGGCCATTTCCAGTATTCAGAAGATGGTCCTCTGTTACCAAGAAGCCCACAATGCCATGGATGTAAGTACGGTAACCCTCAAGTGACTCATGCTGTCAAAAGACCAATGAAAGATACATTAATATGTTTTCAATTACCATTGTTATTTGCAATTTAGACTTGTATACTTTTATATATATACCATATTAGTAGGAGGTTGCAGGACCAATCGAGCTTGCTGTTTCCTCTGCTGTCGGTAATATGTTTCAAAAGTGTCCCTGGACCCCAGAACAGAAAATATATGCAAGCATCTGTATACTGGTGAGAAGTCAATGAGATCCTGTGCACAAAGGTCTTCCTCCTCATCATCATCCTCTTCATCAATTTCAACTTTGCCTAAAAGTAACAAATTACCAGGTAAATCATCCATCATGTTGGCTAAAGAAGTTTAATATACAGTTGAAGATAAGAAACAAACCTGTGAAGGGATTTGGTGGTGGTGGAGCACTTCGTTTCTTTTTACCACCAATAATACCTGGATCCCCTCCCATTTGTTCTGCCGTCTAAAAATGAAGAAAGGGTGTATTAGGAAACCAACCATGAATTTATGCTAAAGCAGGAAATGGCATGAGGTCCCCTTACATGTCTCATGGCTACCTCTCCTATTTTAGGAGAAAATTTCCTGATGTTTTCCAAAAAGTCTTTCAGATCTGACATTGATGCATCTTTAATGTTTTCTCGCAACCTAAAACATACAAAATTTATGTTCAATTGACAGAAATCAACATTGTTATCAAGACGAATTTGAACTTACTTAGGAATGCTGTCCCTCATTTGCTGTGCAAATTGATAATTTGCAACTCTTGGCAGATACAAATGTTCTAGTTGCTCCAGGGTCTTAAGTGCTGGGTAGTACCTAGAATTGAGGCGATACTTGATACAGATTAAACATTACACAATTCTGAAATTCTGTCTCATCACACATCGCTCGAGCTTACCTCTTATCAACCATCTGCCGCTGAAGTTTAGCATAGGTAGAGAGCACTGGAAGGCAAATGGTTAAACTATCAATTGCAGAAGCAATATTGCTCTCAACACGTCTCGCTTGAACTAACTCTTCCCCTTTTGATATAACCCGGGTCGCCGACTTCTGCAGCTCCTCATCCAGGTGAACAACCTCACCCTGGAAAGATAACAGAAAGATTAAAAATTGAAGTGGAAGAGTTCAAAATGGTGACAGAAATTAGAAATGATGAAATAATACATACGTTCAACTTTTGGGCTTGTGTTCGTACTTGGAGCAACTCTCTAATTGAATCGATGAAACCTTGATAGTGAAAATTGCACATACGTTCAATATCTTTGTCATGGCTTTTGATGCGAGCGTTAAGACATTCCATGAACTTCTGATGCTCATCTCCATCATATATTGCCCTGAAAATGAACGGCAGATATAAAATTCAGTTCAGTTCAGTCGAGTTGCTTGCATTGGTGGGGCTTACACATTCTCAACGCATTACATTTTCGTAGCTTTCGGAAAAGAATAGTGGCCCCTAACCACGCAATCTCACCTTATTACAACAGAAACACCACTAACTTCATTGGTTTCTAACTCTGACAACAAATGTTCAAACTGAGGCTGCAAGCTAAGATTGAAAATTGTTGGTCTCCTTCCAGATCGAGCCATGTTTGAACGTTTGAACGTGTCCCACTATTTCGTTTATTTTTATTATTGAGAGAACCAAAGTAATGTCACTCTCACGAATAGCAAGGATCGAAAAAGGGTCAAATTATCTATCAAACTGTATTGAAGAGGCTCCTCAAGACTAGACTGACACCTAGGTGTTAAAGTGTCAGGTACAGGTGCAAAGTGCAGGTTGGTTTCACAGCAGACGAACCAGGCAGGTCGCCTCTCAGAAACAGGGGAGCTCCGCGAGACGTAGGGACAGTGGGTGGCAGATTTTGGGGGTGGGTGGAAGAGGAAGATGTGGGGTTGTAAGTTGTAAAGGGGTGAGGTGCGGGGGGTGAACCATAGTATTGATTTTAGCCCATCTTGGACGGCGCGAAAGGGGGTGGTGGCTGAGGAGGCATTTCATCCACAGGTTCTCACCTGAAAGTGGGCCCCCAATATTCGTCTATGCCCTCAATTTCTTGTAACAGCAGCTCATGCCGCTGAGATTTCGAATCTTGAGACGCACTTTCGACCATTTCGGCTGTTTTAGGGTAATCTTTCTCGGTCGATATGTCAAAAGTCACCTCTGAGAGGCACCATATTTGTTGTGGTTGTGGTTTAATTTTCATTGGGAATTTTCAAGCCAACAAAGAAAAAAAAACGAGAATCTAAGCGCACACATTTTAACATAACTGTCAATGCAGAAAATTTATTTTTAAAGATTTTTTATTTTTAAGTATTAAGGTCATGTAATCTGTCAGTACTTTTGCTGAGCATGAACTGCTAGTGAAATGAACAACATCTCTTACGTTGGCAGCAGATGCGGCGAACGTCTACTTTGCCGCCTCTCTTTGAACCAATGTCAGAAAATTTTGTGCATATTTTCTTTTAGTTTGGCCACGGAGAAAAGTCCACCTTTAACGTAAATATTTTTTTAAAAACAAAAGTTCTCATTTGTTTCATACAACGGCTTTTTGAAAATTAAATGATCCAGAACAATAGCAAAACGAGTAACATTGTTGAAAGAGGGAAGGGAAGAAGGAATGCACGAGGAATGCACGGACACACCTTGCTCGTCTCGTCGTCGGCTGTCTGTTATGAAAGAGGGGAGCTCATTCCTTGGGTGTTGACGTTATAAACAAAACAAACATGCGATGCATACTCATCTTCGACCATTTAAACGACATCTTATTTACGAAATGCGACTCAAAATTTATTCAACATGTCCGGAAACTGGCAACGAATCAAGGTCTGCTACCGCAAACGGTAAGTTAGTTGCCCCAAGAGGTTAAGTCATATTTTGATTTTGTAGTTTACCTACTGTTATTTATGCAAGCGCAATTGATATCTTCTTGCCATACTGCTGTACTTAAAAAAATAAGTTGTTTCTCAAGAGTGTGAATTCGTATGGTGTCGGTTATATTTTAAGAGTACATTGTCTGTATTGCGTTCTTTCTGAACTAATTTGCTGTTAAAGGTTTAAGATATGCAGGGAAATTGTTTTATAAGCCCCGTCTAATGCATTCCCCTTCAATTGTCCTCATTTGGTTACTCTAATGGTGACTGTGACCATGTGCATCTGTCATACCTATTTTGATTACATAATCTGGCGATGCATTTTTCTCCATGCAACCCAATATCACACAATTGTCTTAAACTAAAAGAATAACCATTTCACAATTGTATCTTCATTTGGCAGGAATCTGGAGGAGATGATTGCACATTAAGTCCAAATGTCATAATTCAATTATTTTCTCCAATGGTTACATCCCAACGGGTGATGAGCTGTCAATTTGGTAATTCGTATACGTTCATTCAATGCCAAGATGGAACCAACATGGTTTTTGATGAGGTTTGTATTCATCTATCATGCAGCATTATTATCTTGGCTATAAAGAAATAAACATTCACTTACTCCTCTTTGTCTCTCAGTACATGGGCTATCTGTTTATTCACATTGGACTTGAGGAGGTGAATTGGCTGAAGCGAACCTTGGGTGTCTGTATATCCTTTGTTAAACATCTCTGTGGACCTGATGTTTCATTGTATGTATCTTTCTTTGATGTCATGGACTTAGTTTTCAACTTTGGTGCAGTTGCTTCAATACTGGTCAATTTACAGGTTGAAGATAAGTCAGAGCCGTTCGGATCTTCTGACCCAGCTGCTAGACTCATGGGTTTTCCTTCAGGATTCAGAACAATGGCTCCTTGTTGAAGCAGTTGAACAATTGACAGTGAATGCTGAACTAAGTGGAGCAACCCTCAAAACTCTGCAATCAGCTGTTGACAAGATGCGCAGTGTTGATGAATTGCAGCGAGTGCATGCAATGATATTAGTTCGTAATAAATTTTTGTCACTCTACTCAAGGTACAATCATAAGTTGACTGTAACTACCTGTGTTTAATGAATCAGCTTTCAACACCTGTGCTCTTTGATTTCAGCAAAAATACTCAAGACCTGTCTGCTGCAGACCTATTATTTCTAAATATCCTCACAGAATGTGTCCAAGAAAAGGAATCTCAACCTAAAACAACTAGTGATAGTGGACTAAGTGGTGAGAGCAGTGATGAGTTTTACAGTCCCTCTGGAAGTCTTGCCAGTACTCCCAATGCAAGTCCACACATAAACAGGCGATCTCCATCCTCTGCTTTGAATGAATCAGTCTCACCAGTCACAGTGACAGTCAGCCATGACCTAATCAGCCATTTGGTTTTGCTCAGTGGCGTTCCCTATGCAGTGCACATGGCTACTATGGCCCCTGGTGTCACACTTTTACTCATGGTGCAGACACAGATGGGACCTCTGTGCAATGGACTGTCAGATGCTCTGCAAGCACTTAATGTACTGCAAACATTGCAAGTCCAGAAGGACTCAGACGGTGTCAAACTTGCATTTGAAGCTCTTGATGGTGCCATGAAACGTACTTTTGATGGTCTGAAAAAAGTGAAAATGACTGCACCTTCCATAGAGTCATGCAGTTCTAAATTACAAGGACTTTGGGATTTTATGCGAAGGTACGTTTATGATCTTCTTTTGAAGTAATGTTTGGTTTTCCCATGCATTGGACTAAATTATCAGTTCAAACCCTTGTTTTGTATTTCAGGAAGTACATTGAATACATAAAAGCACCACTTCCAGACTGTCTGCTTAGAATTGAGTCTAGCTCTGCTGGATTTCAATCATTGTTGTGTGAGCTGCTATGGAGAACATGTCTTGATTCCATAGCATTGCACGCTGCTGTTTCTGGAGTAGAGTCTGGTGCAGAACATGTGCGGAAAGGTCTGCATGATTTTAGTAGCTTTCTTGAAGTGAAAGCTCTCTGCAATTTCACTTTAGGATCATATCCTTTATTGCAATTTTATTCCATTTTTCATTTCATTTTTTATTGGCAAAACAATGCCCAAGAGCGCAAGCTCCATAAGGGCGCGATACAATTGACATAGTCATGGCGGTCAAAAGCATAACAGAATTTAAACTTTGTACAACAATAGAATTTATAACAAATATAGCAAATATAGTACAAAATTTGACAACAGCAGTGGTTTTTTTTTTTTTTTTTTTAGCATGATAGGATGAGATGCAGAAATAGTACAGGAGAGTTTGACTAGAGAATTGGGTCTTTACATAGGTATGTAGTTCTTTAGCTTGAGCTTGAATTTTTTCGTATCATCTTCCTCACGGATGATATCGGGTAGTCCATTATAAACATGTATGCAATAATTATTCAGGGAAAGCAGTCCATAACGGGTTGAGTTGGAGGGCGTCGGTCGCAGCTTGTTTTGATTCCGGGTATTATGATTATGGATCTGGTAGCTCAGTTGGAAGGATGATTGACTGTTCCTTTTCCTGTTTGTTACAAGATAGGCAAAGGTAGCTGCTGACTGTTGGGTAAGGCTTCTGATAGGCATTAACTGAAGATCAATGTAGAGGCTTCTGGACGGATATCTATAGTTGAGGCCAAATATTTGTTTTATGATTCTGTTTTGAAGTCGTTGGAGAGGATTCAGCCGGCTATTTGTGGCAGTGCCCCAGATCAGACTCATGTACGCTAGGTTGCTTTGGACTAGACCAAAATATATTGTTTTCAGGTTTTCTTTTGTGAGTATATTTCTGAGCCTGTACAGAACTCCACTCATTGATCCAATTTTTCTTGCTACAGTGGATATATGGTGGGTGATCCCAGCATAAAGTCTCATCAATTACGAGTCCCAGAAATCTGACACTATCTACTCGGTTGATTGTTTCATTACCGATTTTAATGTTCAAATTTATACCACTTCTCTGACTGGGTTTAGAGAAGATCATATATGTAGTCTTCTTGAGATTAATAAACAGTTGGCTATTTCTCAACCAGTTAGTGAGAGTGGTAAGGTCTTCTTCCATTTGAATTTTAAGTAACTGCAGATTATGGCCAAGGTAAAACAGGCTTGTATCGTCAGCAAATAGGGTGATTCTGCCATGGAGTTTAAGGTCCTGTATGTCATTAATGAATATAATGAAGAGCAGAGGGCCCAGGATGCTACCTTGGGGAACTCCATATTTTATAAGCGTTAATTCACTATCCAGTCCATTTACTTGGGTGTATTGGTATCTGTCTTCAAGATAGTTCCGTATCCACTGGATGATACCATCAGGTAGTCCAGGTATTCCTTATCACTAGTAACCAGCTAGCTAAAATTGGTCTTGAGGAAGCATTTATTTCAATGTTTGCGTATTTTAGTTATAGTGCAATGTCTTTTTTGTGTGTGTTGGTAATGTCCTTAATAAGCTACACGCGAGCTTCCCTAACCATCAACAAGTATTTGGAAGAATTTCCTGGTCTGGTCCATTTCATATATGTTGACCGCTCAAATCACCGAGTAACTGCACCGTCCTTGGATTTTTCTGCTCAAGAGACAGTAACTCTCACCAAAAAGAAGGTTTGTAACTGACTGTGATCATGAAGTACAGTACAATATTCATGAGTGAATTTTTATAAAATTAACATTATGATCATGCTAGATCTGGTGGATGGTGGAATTGAGTCGAGCACATCTGCAAGATGGTCATTTTGCTTTGATGTGGAAGGACACCACTTTCAACTATGCTTACTTTTTATGGTTTGAAGATGCCTCTGTAAGTATCAGTATTAAAAAAAAAAAATTTTTTCAATTTCTTCAAACAAGTCTCTAATACCAAATTACTTTGCAGGGTTCTCCACTGAAACCTAAAGTTCTTCCCACATCTGCACTTAAAAACTTTCCTATGCCTGGTGTCATGTGTGGGGATTTCTATCAGTGAGTATTGTAGTATCCCTATTTTATTTTTGAAGAAAGTAGGTAATTTAATAAAAATTACAATATAAGTTTATCATCTTTCCAAATTTTATTTTTCAGGAAGTTGATTGAATGCTGTTTTCCCAAAACATCCCCGAGCAAAATTCGGTGTTTTGAGCTGATGTGCATTCATTTAGGCTTGGCAACATCATCTTGTGTTTTGGAACACTCGAGAAGATTGGCTGCTACTATTTGGGAAGTGACAGGGATGCCAGGAAGCCCATTAGATCTTTTGTAACAATAATTTTGGTGTCCCTGAAATCGTAAAATGAGAGCAGTATAAGTTTTTTTTTATTACAATTTGACTTGGTTCTCACCAATAGATTACAGTACAGTCAATGTTCTCTCTCAATAATTTTTATTTGATATTCAGCCGTGTTCTAATTTTAATCTGTCCTTTTGTTATCGAAATCTCATTTTTTTATCATATTTATTTATGATTATTACATATTGTTTATATTTAAAGTTACCTTTTATTGTTGAATTTTATCTCTATGTTCTCAATTGCCTCAAGTACGTTCGTCAGAGCAGTAAAAAAAAAAAGAAAAAAAAATACTCTGAGAAAAAGTTGATTAGAAATGCTTACTGGTGCCATACATTAGTTTCTTGTTTCTCTCTCAGGAAACTTGATGTTATTTTAAGTTATGCCACCTTGATGTGCCAACAAATTTTAAGCTGTAAGTGAACATGCAAACATGTTAAGTGGAGTGTATCCAAAAGTTTTGTTCTATAACCAGTGACGATACCTGTAATTAATTTATGCATTCAGTTGAGCAGATGATTTGTATTATTTCTTGCTTTTGGTATCGAGTCAGATTAGAAAGTAAGTTATTTTAATGACCCAAAGTACAAAGTATGATGTCAGTATTTGATAATTGGATGACTGAGTTGTCATTCTTGCATTTATAATTTGGACTGATGTATACTGATGACTAGAAATTCAGCTTGCTGACTGGTACATGTATTTTACTTCAGCTCATTATCAAATTAATTTTTTACTTTAATAACTATGTGATTGCACTAAGTCGCTTATTTGAGGATATGACAGGATAAAATGAGCCTAGTTATACAGACATCTAGTGTATAAGGCATCTCTACATTAGTTTCTAATCTTTAATCAACATTCTTGCTACATACTCAAATTAGTCTTTCATATCATTACTAGGCATTGTGGATGGAATGTTCTAAATATTGATAGACATGGAGTGATCCACATTGGCATTTCTGAATGGGTTTTGGGGGATTTAAGTTTTGATTTTTAGCTTTGTTTATGTATTTTAATGTACAGTATTGTCTTCTTTTTTTTTTTTACACAATTAGGAAATAAAAGTTGTGCTTGACATTGTTAGGAAAGCTGAGATTAACTGACACCCAAATCTTCAGTACTAAGGTAATTTATTGAGGCTTTCTTAATAAAACAAAACAAGATTTCACTCTGATTACTAACCCTCAGGAGGGCATAAATAAGTGCAAGCAATATCATGATAGCAACATGCTGCCGTGTAGCTTTATTTTTAACAATAAGAATGAGTGAGGAAGGAAAACCAAAAGAATAAAAACGTCAGATCTGCAATTATATGAAAAAGAATGTAACAGAAAAAAATGCAGTCGCAAGAGAGCATTAAAAGTATTTGAAAAGTTGCACTCACATGGCAAAATTCAAATGCTGTAAAAGTCTCACAGGACAATGATATCATGATCAACTGCACCAGCAGCACGCAACTTCTTAGATGCTGGGCTTTCTTCTGATGGGTCTTGCTTTCGCTTACGATCACTAGTTGAAGGTGTTTCATTGATTTCATCTATCAACATAAGGTCATCCTCCTCTTCTGCAGCCTTATCACCTGATGCCCCTAGTGAGGAAAAAGGAAAAGATATAACAAAACGAAGACAAACATTGCTCAATAAGCACAACCATACATCTGAAAACTCTTGTCAGATTTCCACCCAATAATTTTCACCTTGCTAGTTACCCCCAAAATAAAGACAGAGACATGATATGATATAAATACAATACACAACTTACCATTGGTCTTTTCTCCCTCCTCCTTGGGCTGACATTTACTTTGATCACCAATAAGCTCTATGTCCGGTTTGTTATGCTCAGCTTCCCTGTGGTCAAAATATCACGTTATGTTAAGTAGCTGAAGTGGAAATAACAACAAAAAGGAACTTTAATGTTTTAGATGTGAAAAATAGTTTGATGTAAAAGAAGTTTACCTGTGATTCACAATAACTTTCAAGCTATAAGTCTGAACAAAGTCATCAACTGAAAGGACAGAGCCATCCAAAATTCCCATTTCTGCAAGAGTTTTGTGATGGATTCCATCCATTTCCCCCTCCTCACTGCTGATGATAACATCCCCTGTTGAGTCTTTAACAGCGTCTGGCTGCACCATATTCAGTAAAGACTTCAACACTCGCTCTTCCAATTCTTTCACTGTTAGTTTGTTAACATCTACACAAACTGAAATCTGCAATGTAAGAAATGCAATAAGAGACTTAAAGTCAAGAGAAAGTGTGCAGTGAGAACATTGAAAGTAACACAAAAGAAGCCCATCATACCTGAGGAGAATCACGACACACATAGCATTTTTCATTGGGAGGATTTAGACCCCGTTCTGGAACAATGAGCTGCCCTCTATGATTTGGTTTTAACCGGCAATAAACTGAATGACAGCTTTCTAGCTGATCTCGCAGCACATTGAACGAATTAAGTACAACCAGACCAGCAATGATTGCATTGGTTGTCGCAATGGCAGGGATGATGTTGCCAGCCATAGCTAAACATAGCAAACAAAGGAATAATACTTAATATGGGAAAAGGGTTTTATGTTGAATGGTGCTATCAAAGTATACTTACATTTGATATCAAACCTTGTCTTCTGGGCAATGCCAAAAATGTATGCTCTTATGTTGGCACAGGCAGCCACAAAGTCCATGGCATCTTTGTCATCTTTGTCCCAAACTAAGTGATCATCCTTGTTTTTCGATTGAAGATCCTGGCAAGAGATTTAAAAATAAATAAATATATGAAAAGATAGCTGATTGTAATAAACAACAACATTTGAGAAAAATATGACTGCAGTGTCCAAGTGATGGGCAAGGCACAAACATTTGAAACAAAGAAGTGGATTGTTACCTCAAATTTATTCTTTAGCTCCTTGAGACTGCGAGAAAAAATTTGGGCACACTCTACAATACTCCATGGACGTTGATCCTTGAGTCCTTCAGCAGGATTATCTTTGCTGCTACCTGCAACTATGGTGCAAAACACATAAGGTATAACACAAAAAAAAAAAAAATTAAGTGTGTCAGGAATGGACCAGATTTTTCACTTTACCAGCATCCGGAAGTTGGTCCATTTTCAGAGGAGTGGGCTTGCGACGTTTCTCCCACAGATTGTGCATACTAAGAAGGTAGTCAATATCATCATGAAAGAGTTTGTGGAAAAGCTTTGAGCTGTCATAACCACTCTGCTGGGCCCACTGCCTTGTAGTGACTCGCTCAATGTCACCCTTTTCATTAGCTTTGCCTTTAGCTGCGGACTCTCCAGCTGAACCTGATATTGATAAATAGTGTAGTAGTCAGTGAGGAAATCAACAACAAAAGTGTTTACACTAGAAAAATTGAACACACCAGCAGCTTCTGGATCTTCAGTGTCTGGAGAAACATCATTGTCGGCATCGTATTCTCCAAACAATTGACTGAAACAGGCCGTAGTAATGCAAACTTCAATATTTTACAGGAGTTGTTCAAAACCACGTGAGCTCATCCAGGCTACATGAATACCATGGAGGACAAATATTGGCACTAACTTACTTGAAGAGATGTTTACCCCAAACAATGCAATGAATAGGTTCAGAAGGAGTGTTGCGAATTGTACACCCTGGGAAAGTTTTCTGAGCGGCCTTTGGCTCACACTCGTAACACTTGGTCATCCCTTTCTTGATCAATTCCACCTTGAGACAAAATGTCAAATAAGACAAAATTCAATTTTGTAAATTAAAAAGTTTGATTAGTTGACACAATCAACCTACCTGTCCATCATATCCAGCTGTTCCACTTTCAATCAAAGGAATGTCGGCAGCAAGGCACATTCGATTCACATGATTACGAGCAGCTCTATTGTCTAAGGCATTCAATACCATCTTAAACTGCTTGAAGTAGTTTACACTATATTCAGGCCTGCAAGAAATGAAACGTTAACTAAATTCACAAAACAAATATTTTTTTAAAAATAAAAAAATCGAATGTTAAACTTCAGATTTTGAAGAATGAACGACGATGAACTCACTTCATGACACTGTCATGATGGGCCACAATGTTGACATCAGGGTTGAAGCTGAGAGCACTCTCGCGAGCGACTTGCGCTTTGGACTTGCCAACATGTTGCTTTTGAAAGAGAAATTGTCTGTTCAGATTGCTCACATCGATGGTGTCCAAATCAATCTGAAAACACAGGAACAAAGCGTTTATTAACAATAATAATAATCTCGCTGCTGTAGAAAAAGTCGACAGACAAACGTCATGAGTGAGGTTCTGAGGGGTAGCTTTCAACAGGTTCCTGTCATGAACTGAGACTTACGATTTCGATATCTTTGAAACCAGACAAGACGAGGTTCTTAAGAATTTCACATCCAATCCCGCCGGCGCCGACAACAAGGATCTTACAACTTTCAATAGCATGTTTGAGATCGTCAGTGAACACACCGGCAATGCTGGCCGCCATTTTCACAGCACTGGGCCCGCTCGCTCTGCTGCAGGCAGAGAGAGCATGTAACTTGGCAGGAGAGCTAGCTTTTCGGCTCGGGAACGAACGCTCGGTCTGGCGTTCTGACCATGGTCGGTAGGAGTTTGAAGAAACGAAAATACTCAGAATTAAAGGATATGTAATCAAACATATATATTGAGGCGCAATCAGTAAGACATTTTTGAGTAAATCGAGCACCTTTTATCACGGATTAGCCGGTTTTAAACCTGGAAATGACAAAAAAGGAAGCAGCGGCGAGGATCCGCGTCGGGCGCTATCTGCAGGGCCGCTTTGTGGGCTCATTTTCAGCCTTGTTAAGCTCCAGAAGGGCAAAAACTTGGGCTTGGATTAAAGCTAGAGGCTTGAACTATGACTCTGTGCATTTATTTTAAGACATTAGCGTAGGAAATATTTGCATTCTCCTTACAAAGTGGGCCGTCCACAGGCCGTTAGCAGGCGGTGACTTCGAATCACCGAAAGGTGATGTGATGACTTTGTAAGGAGAGTGCGAATATTTTCTACCCTGTTTTAAAATAAATCCACAGGGTAATAGTTCAAGCATCTAGCTTTAATCCAAGCCCAAGGTTTTGCCCCTCTAGATGCCCCTCTAGAGCTTAACAAGGCTGAAAATGTGCCCACAAAGCGGCCCTGCATTTAGAGCCCGCCTCGGGTCTCTACTCCCCGGGTCTCGGTTCGGCGCGGCGGTTCGGGCCTAGCCTAGCCTCTCGCAGGGCACCCTGTTCTCCAAGATGCACTCAGGGCGCTCAGCGTATGTTTGTTGCTAGATTCTAGTGCGATCTTTGAAATATGTGACTTATTTTCTTTTTAAAGTTTAGTCATCCTTTTGAGAAAATATTGAGAAAATGTGAATAACTTTATTTGTACTGGTGGGCAAATTATTCAAGATGCAGGAACTCGTTCAAGAGGGTCTGTCAAATCTATGCCGTCTCTGTGGCGAAGACGATAGAGAATGTTTTGATTTGTTCGATGACGAGCGCCAGGAAGAAGAGCTTCTCTTCAAAATCGAACAATCCGTCAGAATAGCAGTAAGTAATGTGGTCTTTATGTTCTTCCTCACTTCAAGCTGTCTGCTTTATATAATTTTAGATTACGATTGAATGTAAGGTTAAAATTATTTGCCTCTCAAAGCATCATGGTATATTTGTGTTTACTCAATTTTGAAAAAAAAAAAATTAACCACCTTTTATATGAAACCAGTTTGGCTTACAATTATTCATCTGATTCCTCTCTAATCTCAACTGCTTATCTTTTCAGATAACTCAAGGCGATGGTTTGCCAACTGGAATTTGCACTCTGTGTCACGATAAACTTACAGGGTACGCCACATTTTACCAACAATGTCATGATACGCAAGATAGACTACAAGAATTTCTCTCAATAGAATGTGCTATGCAAAAGTCAATTCAGGGTAATCAAGATGAGGAGGTATGTTTACGAAGTGTTGCATATTTTGCTGTCTTTACTTATTAGCATCCTCTCTGTGTTTCAAACCTTGAAATTTCTAAGTCGACTTGTGCTTTAGCCTCATATCTTCCTATAATGTGGCTCTTACACTGTTGATGTCTTACTTATTGTACACGATGTGTTTCAGGCTACTAATGATGATGATTATGATCATGACGATGAACACAATTATGAAGCCGAAACAGAGGAAGTTTACTACTATGAAGAAGAAGGACCAGATAATGGCGTGGAAGATATGGAAGTAGTTGAAGCAGTAGAAGCGGGAGCAGTGGAAGAAGCAGATGAAAGCTATATGATAACTGAAATTGATCAAGACAACACCGAAGAAAGGTAAGCTAGAAATTTATACATCTTAAGTCGGAAGTCGGTAGTTGAATTTTGAAGTCTGTGAGGAATTGGATTCTCTGACCAAATTTATACAATGAAAACTAAAACCTTGCTCAGTCATTGATTTTGTTGTTTTTCCAAAACTTGTTTTGCTATTATAAACTTTATTTCAGTTTGGGGGTTTTCTTGGAATGCACTGCAGGAATGTGTTAATGTTACTTCAGAGTAACATTTGTAACAATATTGGTTTTCTTATCTTATACATCTTTTATAGTAACACTAATGCACTAAGGTACTGTTCACATTATGAAGTGATGTGTTGTGTTAAGTGTGCAGCTTTCATAGATCATTCACTTTGTTTTGGAGAGGATCACCCAGAGATAGAGAATTTATCAGAACTGTTGTCTTTTGAGTCTTTTGAGGGTCAGCCATCATGTACTTATGAGTTTTGATTGTCATCATCTAGGGTTTTCTCCCAACACAAATAGATCAATCTATTTTCAAGAAAATAGTGTGACAGTTTCATTTCTAGTTGGAGAAGTGTTGCTGAAAATGATCTTTCATTCGTGGACCTTCGTCTTATCTTAGGACAACAATAATTAGGATAGAAAAGAAACTATATTATCACACATTTCCATGTAATACCTTTTTCCTTTGCAGTTCATTGGCTGCCAGTGAGCGAAAGAAAATACTTCCTTTGGGGGACCTGACATCTGAACAGAAGGAGGACTCAATGCAAACATGTGTAAAACACTTGAGTTTTGAAAATCAGTGCCTTGCCAAAGACAACTTGGCTCCAGCTCAGGTGCCATTTTGTTTACAAATAGACAAGGCAAAATTGGATTCCATAGAGAAGACCAATCAGAAGCAGATTGATACTAATGTTACATCTGCTGTGATCCTCAAACCTCCACCTCTTGTCAAAATTTCTCACATAGCTTCGAAGACTGGGCCTCCTCTTGTTTCAATTTTAAAAAGCATTTCTCAGCATGCCCCACCTTTAGTGCCTATTGTCAAATTATCCTCTCCAATGAAAGGTTTCTCTGAGACGTTCAAGTCTTTACCAACACCTTCTCTTGTTCCAATTAGTAGAACTGTCAATCAGCCTTTATTAAACTCAAAAGTGGACATATCCAAAGTTGCCATATCAGCACCCAGCTTAGTCCCAATTTGTTCCACTAGACCCCATACAGAAGAAGGCAAAACCATAACAAGATCAACCAGGCTTGAAAATGTATCAACTGCTAAGGAATCATGTGAAGAGCAACGGAATATTTTCAGTCCTCATCACCAAGTCAAGGTTCTGAAGAGTCAGGCAGTGACTTCGACTTCGAAACCCAAAGCCAAGGGAAGAGCATTTATTATGACTGAAGATAAGACTATGGCTATTGAAGTGGATATTAATACTGGAAAAACTAAGCCCACTCTAGGAGAGAATATTGCTTCAGATTTAAGTAGCCTTTCTAGACAATCAATATTTATCAAATTAAGCAATGGAGATATAGTTGAATTAGATAATGTTAAAAAGACACCCTCTGATAAAATACCTGTTCCTTCTGTAATGCCTGAAAGCAAAACTGTGGGTGCAAAGGTGGATGTCGCCAAGAAAGCAACTAATCTTACTCTGAGTAAAAAGAACAAGCCTTCAAATTTAAAGAGGAAACCTGTTCCATTTATCAAATTGAACAATGGAGATTTAGTTCCATTAGATGATGCTGAGAAGACACCTTTGGATCTCATACCTGTTCCTCCTGTAATTCTGATCTGTTACCCTGAATCTGACAAAGATTTACCCAAAGTTTCTGTTAAAGAAAGTATGACATTCTCAGAATCCAGTAGTCCACCAGTGAAATTATCAAGTGGCCTGTTTGTTAGTAACTATCCTCCTGGACTGCCCTCTCCTGTGACTGTGTCTTCCAATCCATCAACCGGTGGAACACCTGATAGTAGGAAAACAAATGTATTTGTACTGAAAAGCAGTCGGACTAGCCAACAGAGGAAGAAAAAGAAAATTCTTGCGGTGAGAGCACGCCCTAAAGAGTTCAATAAGTTAGCATGCCCAGAGGCAGCAAGCCATGTGGAGAATTTATCAACTGATCCTCCTCAGTATAGATGTAAAGTATGTGGTGTCATTCTTTCAAACAAAAAACGATGTGAATATCATGTCATTTCTAAACATTTTATTGAGAAATGTAATTTTGAATGTATTCAATGTGGTAAAAAGTTTGCCACAAACTTTTTACGAACTCAACATATGAAGGTTAAACACACTCGATCTCCAGATTACATTTGTAGCGTGTGTGGTGCAAAGTTCAGGTCTCTAGCTGTCATGAGAGGCCATGAAATGCGTCACACATCACAAGAACCTCCCTTTAAATGTGATGCTTGTGGCAAGGGCTTCTATACAAAAGCCAACTGTAATAAACATTTCTTAGATGTTCATATGGAAAAGACAGCTGTCTGTGATATCTGTGGAGAGTCATTTGCTGGTGTTGGCCGTTTAAATGAGCACCGTAATAATCACGTTGGGGGCTTTAAATGTGCTGAATGTGGGAAAACATACAATTCCAAGAGTAGGCTACGAGCTCACAGACAAGTTCATAACATGGGACGATTAATGCACTGTCACTGTGGAAAAAAGTTTGCAACATTTGCATTTCTTCACAATCATTCAAAGGTTTGTCAAGAACAAGGAAACAAAACGGGGGCTGCAGAAGTTTCTTTGAAAGCAATTAAAAAGAAAAGTTACAAATATCATGTAGATGAAGAGGACGAAGAGGATGAATCAGATGGCTCAGATGATTTGGACTGAATGAATTGAGTGAATAAATAAATGTCTCTTGAATGTATGTATGATTAAATCTAAGAAAAGAAAGTAAACCAGCAAAGACTGAGCCCTCTTGTTATTATGTAATCTGGGTTCATTTGCTCCACATTTGTTCTAATTGTTTTTCTAAAAAAAAAAGGTGCCTTAGATTAAATTATTATTTCCCAATGTCAATTGCATTATTTATTTTGCATTTTGAACTTGCTTGAAACTTCCTTACTCTTCCAACATTTCAGTTCAAATGCTGCTGATGCATTCATTTTCTTCAGTTTGTGCAGTTTGAAAACAATAATATCTTTATATATACATACATTAAATTGTCTCCTTTCAGGTCTGTTGCATCAAACTGCAATGACAAAGAAGAGAGGAGTGTGATAGCGAAGGACCCTGAACCATTGCATCCGTCACTTCCGCAGTTACATCTTTATGAGTCCGTAGACAATGAAGATCAAACCGCCCTCGAAAATTCGTTAGGCATTTCCATCTTTGGTGATTCTGAAAAGAACAGCCCAACATTCAGGAAAGAGATGGATGTTCTACTTTGTGGTGAAACTGATAGTCAACCAACAGTGTCCCAATTGTCATGTTGTTCAGAGCCCCAGCCTCTTACATCTCCAAATTTTAATTTACAAGGAGAAGAATTCTCGCTGGATCAAGGTGGCAGCATTCATATGAATGGGTTTCCCCTGCCAGAAGATCAGCAGTTACCCCTCCTTAAAAGTATTGCTGAGAAGGAAACCATTAAGGAATCAGCAGCACTTACATCCACTTCCATTGAAACTAGGCCTGGTTCTGATAATCTTGTGGTTGGTGACGTAGGGCCAGTTATCACTCAACTGCAAACTCCAGTTAAGGATGTTTCAGTAGATCCACAGTTTGAAAAATTAATGAACTCACAACTATTTTCTTCCCAGTTTGAGAACCCAGCCTCTAAAGAAGCGTATGTTTCTCTCACAGAAAATCCATCTGCTATTGAATCTTATGTTCCCCACCTTCAAAAACCCCTTTTAAGCCAATCTTGTACTCCCAGTATAAATGTTGGTAATCAAGGTATTGGATCTATATGTTGTGATCCTAGTATTCGATGCAATTCTGTACCTGAAGTGGAAAACAAGGATTTGAATGATTCAGCCACAATTTTGTCTGTAAATGCTAGCATTGTTGGGGCAGTTGGTGAAATCAAATTTCAACGTAACATGGGTGGAGTAAAAATAGTATTCCCTCCAACTACTGCTGAGAAAAATATCAGTTTTGATGACCTAATCAATCTCTTCTCTCACAATGAAGTTCGTCAAGCATTTTGTGCAGAAAGTAAGGAGGAAGATATAATTCAACAATTGGTGCAACAGGGGTTGGGCAGTGAAGGGGTAACTCCCAGTGGAAGAGCCTCCTCTTTGTCCCAAACCAGTTCCCTTGATTTACCAAATAGTCTCTTGAGTCCAATGTCATCTGTTTGTGATTCATGGAGCTGGGAAATATCACAGTTACTCAATGGGGATGAAAATAGCAATGATGGTGGTGGCAACAGAAGTGAATTAAATACCCCAGTTGTAAATTTGCCCACACGGCGGGTGGACCCTTGTAATTTTGAAACACCAATGCAATTTGTGTCCCTTCCAAGTACTGTACCTGTGGTTAAAAATTCATCTGGTCATGTCTCTGATAGCTTTGATAGCACAAGGAATATTTCAACTAGTGAACAAATGAACGTGAAATTCACTGGAAACTTTGAATCTCCTATCTGTAGTATTCCTATCAGTAGCTCACTGTCTTTACCAGGATCAGGACACTTTGGTATTGCATCTGAAAGTGATCAAATGAATGGAGGTGGCAGGTTTTCCATTCCTACCCACTTGAATGAAGTGAAATTGTCGTCATCGGAGTGTGTCAATATGAACATGCCCCAACGTGTTTTCACTCCACTCCAAGTTCAAATTCCTGAGGAACTTGATTCAGCCGTGAGAATGTCAAGGACTTTAAATTCATGTAATACTTACTTTGAAGAGTTAAGTCTAGGAATATCTCCAGTACTTGATCTAGACCCTAATGTTGCAACTGTACGTGTGTCATGCCCACCTACTGAAAACTCTCAGCACTCTCTGTTCAAAAGAGAACTTGGTATTATTACCCCCATTCAAACCGTTGAGCATGCACAGAGGTCAGACAAAGCTTCTGCCTTGGTTAATAGCTCTGATTCAGGCTCTAAAGATGTTGACTGTGACATAAAAGAAGTATCTGTTGATATTATAATTGATGATGGGAAAACAAACTGGCTGAAGCTTCTTCCTGACCCCACAGATGAGTTCATCAAGAAAGTTTCACACAAGTGTTTTAAATGCCATATCTGTTCCAAAAGCTTCAGATTTAAGTTTCAGGTACAGAGGCACATAAAAACCAACCATTCTACTGAAAAACCTTACATCTGTGCTGTATGTGGAGCAACCTTTAGTATTAAGTATTACCTCACAAGGCACATGAAAGTTCACGATTCAAACAACAAATTTAAATGTAAAGACTGCAATCGTGAATTTACGAGACGATATCAATTGTTAGAACATGAGCAGTCTCATAAGGGGCTCCCTCGTCTTAAATGTGATCTTTGTGAAAAAATGTTTAGTAGTAAAAGTGCATTTAATGTTCATAGATCCATATGTCCATTAAGTATGCAGTCTTATATCTGTGATATTTGTGGTAAAACCTACGCCGGGCTTACTGCTCTTAACCACCATCGCATGCGGCATGAGCCTTTTAAAAAATTCAAATGTACTATGTGTGAATCTTCATTCCATACTCACTGGCAACTTGTTAAGCATACAAAGAGACATGCATCTCAGGGTCTGTATCTTTGTAGATACTGCTCTTTAGCATTTAATACTACAACCAATTTGAAAAAGCATACTGCAAAGTGTCCAGCACTAACTGTGAATAAAGTTGCTAAAGATCTCTCTACCAAAACTGATTGAATGAAATGAACTTTGCTGCATACTTTGACCAGTGTTACAAACTAATGAACTTTCTTTTAAGACATTGCTTTCTTTATCTGCATATTTTGACCAGTGTTACAAACTAATGAACTTTCTTTTAAGACATTGCTGTATTTGTTATCTCATTGCTGGTTGTACCAAAAAAGAAATTCAAGTGACTGTTACCATTTTTGTTACAAAATAAAACTGACTTTCTTTGAGAATCAACCCTTCTCTTTGTCTCGCCTCATTTGTATTCAACAAAAAGAAAGGAACGAATATTTCAGTGCAGGCTCTATCAAAAATTGCAAAACATAGATTACAAATATTTGCCTGAGCAAGTGATTTAGCTTTTTTTATTCCTGGTCAGTTTTCTATATTGAGTGTTAAGAAATTTTTAACTTTCAACTTTATTTTGTAGGAGTCTTGAAGCTGAGAGAATGATGTCTAGTCCAATCTCAATAGTAGTAGAGGATCTTCAGGAAATGACTTCAACTCAAAATACGGAGGAAGAAATAAATGAGGAAACTGCCTCCATCACATCCTCTAAAACAAACACTAAGGTATGTTGATGCCACTTAAGTTGTATTCAATACAGTGCCTCTTTCAAAATGATTAATGTTTTGTGTGTGTTACTCTCTTATCATAGCTTGTGTACCTTATTAAGAATGCAGGAGACATGCCAGTTGAATCAGTTCTTTCTGCTGTACTTGGTGGAAGTGGTTCACAGTCTTCACCAAAGACGCACCCATCAACACTGCCAATGACTGGTTATAAAATGAGGAAAGTCAGAGCCAAAAAGCGAAAGCATTCGCCGGTTGATAGTGGTGCAAGTCAAAAGGTGGGGTCTAACAAAATCTTCTAAAGTTTGTTCAGTACATATTTGATTGGCACCGTTGTAAGTGTATCGTCTTTTCATTTTGCAGGTGGTGATCAAAGGAAGTGATGGTAAAGAGAATATGATATTCCTAGACTTGGATATGCCTGTTAAAGTGGAACTCCAAGTAGACAGTGAGGATGTTGATGATCCTACATGGGCCCCAACTAATTCGGATCGGGCTGGGAGTCGCTCCTCTACATGGTCAAAACTGAAAAGGGCTCGTAGTGCCGTAAGGAATAGCATGAGGACGTTACGTCTTCCTAAACCCCATAAAAAGAGGGATACTCGCAAAGAGGGACACAAGGGATCTGCCTCTCAAAGGCACATTATTCAGAAAGATGATCCAAATTATGCTGTTATGATGGAGAAATTTGCCAAACCAGTCTCTGTGTCAACAATGAAACGTCATGGCCTGTACAGACCTAAGACCAATGGCTACAAAATTGATGCTCCTTACAAGAAGGATGTAGCACCTTACATTGAAAAAATATCAGATACTGAGTACAAGTGTAAAATTTGTCTTACGGCAAAATTTAGATGGAATTACAAAGCAGAAATTCATATTCTTGAACATTTGGATTGGAGACCTTTTGAATGTGAGGTTTGTGGAAGAGCTTTTACACAAAATCAGTACTTAACAAAGCATAAGCGATTGCACTTTCCTGACGATACGAATTTTATGTGTGAAGTCTGTGGAAAAGGATTTCAACGGCGTTATTATTTAACTTACCATATGGATGAACACTTTGAGAAAACCTACACATGCGAAGAATGTGGTAGGAAGTTCACTCGTCGACAGAAACATGATGAACATGTTCGATATCATCACAAATGTCACTACTCAGTGTGTGATATTTGTGGTCAAACTTTGAGGACCACAGCTTTGTCCAGGCACAGAAAACAACATGGAGAGAAAAGTGAAAGAAAGAAGAAAGAAAATTCATCTGTTTCCAATTGGCTTTCTTGCAATGTCTGTGGCCGTGCTTTCCGCTCAGTGCGGGAACGAGATGACCATGAAGCAGAACACAGTAACTCATTGCTTCCATTCCACTGTGAAGAGTGCGCTGTATATTTTAAGACAAAACGGACCCTCACTAATCACATCATGCATGCACATAGCCAAATAACTGAAGAGGAGTGTGAGGTGGATGCTGCTGCTGCTGGTGGTGAAGAATGTGAAGTAGCTATAAATGAAGAAGAATGTGAAGTTACTACTGGTGAAGAAGAATGTGAAGTGGCTACTCATGTCCTTGATGAACTGTCCTCAACTATTATTGTTAGTATTCCTGAAGAACTGTAATATCTTTGCATGACCAGAAACTTTGTAAGAGATATTTAATGTTTATTACAAATACAATTTTATGTGTTTATGAAGTACTATTTTTCTTAGCTCAACTTTGATAATCTAATGAATTTCTCTGTAAAATTATTATGGAAGATGTAAATTTCAAGTAATAAATAGTTTCTATTTAATTTTTATGTCAAGAGTTTTATTTTGAACACATGTTGAGGCCTCCTTAATGGGCAAAGTTTGGTAGTTGTTTGGGCCCAAAAAAAAAAAGAAAGAGTTGTTGTACTTGAAGGATGTTCCCTGGAAATGGCTAATATTTTATGACACCAGACAGGTAAATAGGAACAAATAGTTTGAACAGAGGCATTCATAGCTATTTATTGACAATAAAATAAAATTTAAAATGAAACATGCACATACATTTTTCTGATTCACTTAATACTAATTAAATTATATGAATACAGTCTTGTTCCTAATTACAGGCATAAGATTTGAAATGTTCCAAAATAAACAAAGGCAGTTAAGCCCAACAATGCATGACTGGGGAACATCAATTCAGAACAATGAAGTCCATTGCAGCCAGTTTGCATTTTTTTTTTTTTTTGGAGAGGGACCAGGCAGACTATGCCGCATATATAGCAAGAAAGAAGTACAGAACAGTAGATACATAAGAGAAGCAAAATATTAACTATCATTAGCAAAACAAATTAATCAAAGCTTGAAGTTAAGGCAGAAATAGGCAACAGGTCGACATCCTAGCTAATCTTTCCAGTGATGTAATAAAAGAATAAAAGCCATCTTCAGGTGACAGATATGTCTGATAATATATCTTGAAGAACACAATAGCTTAGGTCGAAACATTTTCACATATCTTTTATAACACAAAGACCAGCAATTCAAAATGAAAATAATCAATCAGCCTTTTAAAATCAGTTCATCTAAAATACAAATATCATCCTAAACAAAAATAATTTCAAAAACAAACAAAATCATGTATAGTTTATTCTAAAATTAGTCTAAACAAAAATAGATTGACCTAGGGAACTGTGGAACATTTCACGAAATTGATGAAAATTCGTGAAGAATGCTCTGAAGATCCATGGATGCAAAATCAATACTTTGTCTTGTATCATTGACTACACTTCGAACCATTGCTGTGAAAAATTGAGCATGTCTTGGTTTCTCTGTGTATCTCTCATATGTGTCCAGGCTATCTTGGAGTTTCAACGTAAGGCTATCATAGTTCTTTCGAACTACTTCCAATATTTGATCTTCAGAAGGAGTTGACAAACTCTGATTGGTTAGCCATGCCTCAATTTTGGGTGAAAAATGATTAATTATAGCTCTGCAAACAAAAAATAAGTAAAATAGTAAGTACTGAATAGAAAGTACTGAAGAGCATAGAAAAATGTTCTACTGTATGATCTATTGTGATCAATGTTACCTGACATTGCTCAGGCTACTTGTTAGCTTCAAAGCATGTTCCTTTAAATCATTGTCAGAACTGGAGTACCTTAAAGCTAAAAATCCTTCGGTTAGTAACAACACAAGCAATACTGTATCTACTTCAGTACAATTTACACTGTAAAACCTACCCATTGAATATAAATCTTCAAACACATGCTGCATTCTGATCAGTTCATAATACAGTTCATCATAGCTTCCAGGAGAAGGCAGGAAAGTATCACCATATGTGATGAATAGATTAAAAATATTAACAACCTGAGAGCGAATCCATGTACAGTAAAAGTAGAAAACACAATGCTTATTAACCTAGCCACAATTTTAAAAAGTAACAATCACGACAATGATTGCTTACCTGAACAGCAAGGTGGAAAATATTCATCTTTCTGGCTAGATGGTTTTCATTGTTTACCAAAAATTTCAGGAGGCTTATAAGAGCTGACCATACCTCCTTCCACTGATAAGCAAGACGAACACGACACCTCTTTTGGTAACAGATAAGACGATGTACCACACCAATACAGAGGAGATACAATTCCATGGGCAATTTCTTCATCATATGAGACATTATGAACTCAACAAGCAAATCTGCAGCAAGATAGAAGAACTTGTTTAACTCGTGCAGTGATTAAGGACTATTTGGCAAGAAAAGAACTCCAAAAGATTCAATTTATTAAAATCATCCCTATTGATCCACAAATAAAAATGTTACAACTCACCCAGTAATGTTGCTGAAAGTGGTTGAGAAGGTGAGGTTCTGTCAAGTGCTACTTTACGATGTCTCATAGGTAAACGATGCAAAAGCACCTTGAACGTAAGGTTCACATCATGCATTAGTGAATTTGCATACTGGTCTTCAGATATGCATGTTAAAATAAGGAAACACAATTTGACACTGTTCATGCTGGATTCACATTTAGTATCTTGCATAACTATGGAACTGTCAACAAAGGCAAAACATTTATAAAATAGTGTACACAAAATAAACTATTGAAGCTTGCCAAATCAACCCTCATTCACACCATACCAATATTGAAAGAATGTTACTAGAAGATTAGATGGTTCTGCCATAACATCAAAGGCAGGCATTGGAACAGCTGCATCAGATGGAGGGGGTGTTTGAGCTGGGAGCGTGTTGCTTGGTGATGGTGGAAGACTACCATCTGTCTGAGTGTGGGCTAAAGTTGTGATAAAATTGCGGTTCAAATGCACTCCTTCATAAAGTGCCACTAAAACTGCATTATTCGCTCTGAAATAGCACACATGAAATGAATATACATCTCAAACACATACATGAACAATTAAACGTGCTTCATTACCGTATCTGTTGTGTTCTGACACCACCTTCCTCAGACACAAACATGCTTCCCACCATGTTGGTGAGGGACGACAACCATCCAGCAGACTGGTTTTCTTGGTGCTGGGCAGCATATTGGTGGCAAAATTCTGATAATGAAGCAGTAATAACCTTGAAAATGAAAAAAAAAAAAGGGAAAATGATACCGTAGGTAATAAAGTGAACAACTCTGAAAACAAACACAAAATAACAACCTGCCCATATCCATTTAGGGCTAGCTCATCATCCAAAATAGACAGCTTGACTATGTAAGGGTTCGCAGCTTCATATTTGCGGTAATTGACTAAGAGTGTCAAAAGGAGAACAGCATCATGCCCATGAGCTGCTCGAGATTGAGGATTGCATAGAAGCTGCAAATCAAAAACATTGTTTTTTGTAATAAATGAAAATTTTTCAAATGTTTATCAGGAAAAAAAAAATCCAGAGAATAGCAGCAGACCAAACACAGACATCTTACCTGGATAAGACTTTCAAATACACTGTTGATCATAACATATTCAAGCAATGTGTTCTGACTAACATTTTCTGTTCCAGTAATCAGAACAAGTAACAGCTTCAGACAAAGAGTTTTAAGACTTGCTGGGAATTCGCCTGAACAAGAAATCAAATTAGATGGAGGCCAAATTTTTAAAGCCAAGTAGTATATGTTTAAGAGTTTAAATTGCAAATACCACTTAAAAAGTTGTTAAGATGGTCCATTAAGGCTTGCATGCGCAATTCAGCTTGATCAAAGCCCATTAAAGTGTTTATTATGTCAAATCCAGAGACACCACTAGTTTTCTTATATATGGCATCAATGATTGCACATAAAGTCTAGGGAAAAGAAAGATATGCCTAACTGAGGAGCTAAGCTCATCATATTATGATCAAATTCAAAGAAAAGTAGGTTGCTTTGCACCACGTACCTGTAAAGCATATACAACTCTGATGTGATGACCATGGCTTAACGTTTGTACACACTGATAAAAGAGAGTGTGAATATTGTCTTTCAACAGAAGTAATTGATCCAGGTTCAATTTCTGGATTTCAGCTTCCAATTGTGATACCTGAAACACGAATTTCATCCTTCAAAACAAAACAATAGTAATGACAGCAAGGACAGGAAATTTTAAAAACTATTAGATTACAACCACGAACTGGATCGAACATTCTTGTACCTTTGGTTTCAGAAGGAATAATTCGTCCCAAAAATTAACATTGGTTTTTGCAGGATCTTCTCCCTAAGAAGAGGTAATTTTCAAAATAACAAACACAGTTTGAGCAAAAAGGATTATTTCTCTATTAGTGACTTGAGGCTTACCTTGAAGAAGCACTCATACATTTGAACAACTTTTTCTTTGAGCTGCCATTTAGAGCCAGAGCCACTTCTCTTTCTTGTAGTCATTTTGACAGCTATGCAGAAGATTGATACAGAAGACAAACTGAAAAATTGAGCCATAACAAATGCCATGAAATTACAAAAAGAAGGATTAGATCGAATTCATTTGGAAGTTTAACTTCAATTATGATGCAAAGTTATTAAACACATTAAACCACATATATTAACTTAAACGCAAGTCCTTTGGATCATGAAGGGATGACCTAGTTGTCGTCGTAACTTACACCACATCAGAATTTCTTCTGCATTCCTGTTGTTGTCACACACGAAACCTAACCTTTGAGGATATTCGTACGCAACGTGCGCATAGTGTGCTTGGGCGAGGACGAGAAGGTCGTCTATTCGCAGTCGAGACTGCCTACACGGGGAAGGCCGGCATCCGGCGGGGGAATTGAAAGTTTGGTCAGCCTGGTAGCCCGGTGCGCAACCGCCCAAGTTACCGGTTAGATTCATTTTATTTCAAAAGAGAAAAAAAAGATTTAATTTGAAGTCAAGGTACTTTAAAGGCTGCGACGCGGGATGGCTCCTCTCAGCTCAAACACGAAACACTCAAGAAGAAGTCAAAGAAGTCAAAATGACGTCAATCTAACCGTCAAAATGACGTCAATGTGACCGTCAGAACGACTTATTTTGGTCGAAATTTTGACTGAATGCAGTCATATTGTCACCGACGTCACGGTGAGCGTTTCGTGTTCCTGGGGTGGCGCTGCTAGTCACATGCGACTAAGATTTAGGCATACTTATTTTATTTCACACATTTGTATCAAAATCAACACAGTCAATCTACACAGTTAAAATTAAAACACATTTTTTTTCTTTAGAAAGGGAATGGTCGAATCAGCTTCTCAGCAGGAGGAAGGCCAGGGCGAGGGCGAGGATGAGCGGGGCAGGGTGCAGCGCAGAGAGCGCCCCGCTCAGCACCCAGCCCGACACGGCCTGGAGGTGCTGCCGCCTCCACGCCAGGTTGGCCCGCGCCGTCTCCAGGGCCTGCTCCGCCGCCGCCTGGGCCACTCCCAGGGCGCTGCTCTTCGACGACAAGAAGTCCTCCAGCTGCAACGAGAGGGAAAAGTTATTCGACTGCGGCCTTGTCGTGATCGGCGTCCTTTCTCGCCATAGAGTAGTTGAGTTGATCTAAGGCCGGAAAAGAAAATCATGGCCACCGCCACCGGAGGCTTCTGATAAGGCGTAGCAGGCAACGGAGCCCCCGGCGGCCGCGTCCTTGAAGCATTGTTTTTCCTTTCCTCTTCTTGCCCAACGTAAAACGAACTACTCCCTTTTGGCATTGCACTGACCTTCTTCAGTCTCGTCTCGTCGACGATCCTGCTGGCCAGACCGTTGACCACGTTCTGCATGGAGCTCCAGCCGCCATACCTAGGCAGAATGAGCAGATGTCTTTGTAAAACTCGCTGGGTGGCCAGGGTTCCCATCAACAGGCGCAACACTCACGCTGTGTTCATCTTGTCGAAGTTGGCGATGAAGTAGTCGAAGGCGGGGTCCAGGTTGGCGTCTCCGCCCGAGAGGACGGAGCTGAAGACTGTGGACGCGTCCTGAGCGCGCACCATGTTGGCGTCCAAGGAGTACCCAAGGTACTTGTCGATAGTGTTGGCGTCGTTGGAGCAGCCCAAGGCCCCCAGGATGAGACTGCGCTCGCCGACGGTGGTCGTCGTGCTCAGGTACCGGTTCCACAGCGTGTCCCAGTCGGCAGTGGTGCCGTAGCGCACGCCCATGCAGTACACGGTGCTGCGCTGGCTGGCCGGGATCCTGCAGGGCGGCATCAGGCAGTCAACGACCCGGTCACCGACTCGGTCACCAAGTTGGTCACCAACTCGGTCACCGAGACCGAGGGACACAGTCGGCACGGCGCAAGCGCGGATCCGGAACTTTTGTAAGCAGGGGATAAAAGTATCACTGTTTGCCACTTACAGGGACAAAGCAGTGCTTTTGGCCTACCTTCTAGGCGGCCTACCGAGTACCCAAGAAGGGTAATTTACCCCCACTTCCCCTCCCCTGGCTCCGCGCCTGACACGGCAGCCCGGGCCCGGGATGGGAGGGCACGACTTCGTCGCTCCCATCACGCGTTTGATTCGATTTCAGTCAAAGAAAGTAAGCCCAAGCACCATGAGTCATGGCCGCCTAAACGGCAGTACTCCTTACGCGGTGCCGCCGAGGACGGACGTGAAGGCCGTCTTGGCGCTGTCCACGCAGTCCTTGAGGCCCAGGCGGCACGCCTGGCCCAGCACGGTCGGCCGGAACGTCAGCTTGAGGTGGTTGTCGGAGGCGTCCTCGGCGAAGCCCACGCTCTTGTAGGCGGCGTCCATCAGCCCGAGGACGTAGTTCTGCGCAAAGGAGTCGAGTCAAGTCCACCAGAGCAGAGAGCCACCTTGCAGAGAGCACGCCGTCGCCGTCCACGCTGCACCCCCCGGCACTCACGTTGAAGGCGGTCTGCCCCGCGTCCCCGGCCAGCATCTTGTTCAAGAAATCCAGGTGGCCGAGAGCCGCCGTCCAGGGGATGGGGTCCGTCTCGGTTCTCAGGTAGCGCGTCATGTTCAAGGCCACGGGGTACTTGAGCAGGCCGGCGCGCGCCAGGCTGAGGGCGTCGTCCAGCATCTGCGCGCGGTTCAGGATCGGGACTTGGTTGTTCTCCGTCTGCAGCAGGGCTGCCAGCCTGGCCCAGTTCGCGTCGTCGTAGTTGACCCGGTAGAATCCTGCAGGAAGGGAATGACTCGTTAGATGGGCAGCCAGGGCATCGGCCAAGGCTTGGCCTCCCGCGAGGAGGCGAGGCAGCCGCTACTCCACGCACCTGTCTGCTTGATGTTCGCCACGACCCAGCCGGTGACCTGGTCGGCGAGGGTCGTGTTGGCGACGCGCGGGTCCAGCCACACGGTCTTGGGGGCGTTGAAGTCGCCGCTCTGCACGGTGTACGTCAGGGGCACCCACCAGCGCGTGTTGGTCGACACGCACTCCCCTTGCGAGGACAGGAACCGCTCCTGGGAGATGAGGAGAGGAGGGGGTCATGCACAGTGTTCAGAAACTTGTGCAACGAACGTTGGATTGGTCCGTTGCAGAAGTCTGAGAGTGTGTCGCGCTGCTGGAAGGGTTGCCTACCCAGCCCGCGCGATCAGCTTGACTTGGCTTGAAAGGCTTGACCAAAACTGATCCTATGCCGGTTCGGGCCCGGTAACTGCCATGTTTGCACTGCACAACATGTCAGACAGTCCGTGCAGAGCCGAGCCAGGGAGGAGGAGGGAGACACACCTGCGAGACCGTCGTCTTGCCGTTCTCCGTCCGCAGCGTGACGACGGGGTAGCCCGCCTCCTGCGTCCAGGCCTCCAAGGCCACGGCCATGGTGAGTCCCCGCGGAAGGCCGCTGTCGCTGCCGAGGCTCCTATCGAAGGCGCTGAACAGGTCGTAGGGGATGGCCGCGTCGTTTCTCCTGTCGGTCCCGTCAAACGGCGTCAGAATGGAAACTTTGAAATAGGGGCGCGGGCGGCGCTGGAGCAGGACTCACTTCTTGCTGAGGTAATCGTTGAGCGCCGCCTTGAACTTGGTGTCCCCCATGACGTTCCTGGTCATGTGCAGCACCGACGCACCTGCGAGACAAGCCAAGCGGAGTTACGGCCGAGCCGAACTTGGCGGTGCAGGGTTGCAGAGCCCGAGGTCATCTACCCACCCTTGTCGTAGGAGATGCGGTCGAAGATGCTCTGGATGGCGTCGGGCGTGTAGACGGTGGCCGACATCGGGTGCGAGCTCTTGAGGGCGTCGAAGGCCAGGGCGCCCTGCAGCGAGCGCACCGTGAACGTGTCCATGAGGCGCCACTGGGGCTCCACCAGGTCCATGGACACGTACTGCATGTAGCGCGCGAAGCCCTCGTTGAGCCACACGAAGCCCCACCAGTCGGGGGACACCAGGTCGCCGAACCACATGTGCGTCTGCTCGTGCGCGATCACCAGGGCGATGCTCTCGCGCGACGCCTCCGTCGTCTCGCCGTCCGTGAAGAGGATCCCCGTCTCGCTGAACCGAACGAATGCGGAATGAGTCAGCGTGCCGACAACGGAATCTGGGAGGAAACACTCGCCTCCGCGCGGCAATGCCATGGCAGTGCCGCGGCACCCACCGGAACGTGATGAGGCCCCAGTTCTCCATGGCGCCGGCGGCGAAGTCCGGGATGCCGATGAGGTCCAGCTTGCCCAACTGCATGCTGTCGTACCGAATGCCGGTGAACTTCTCCAGCTCGGCGAGGGACTTTGGGCCCACCGTGGCGGCGAACGCTGCCTGAGAACAACAACAATGCCGTGAACTCCCGCTCCAGGTCGGACTTGGCGGCAAGGGACGCCATGCCACGCACCTGGTTCTGCTGGCCGGGCCGCACCCAGATCGTGTACGGAATGGTCGGCCTGGCCGTGACGGCGCCGGGCGTCGCTTGCGTCGTGGCGCCTGAAGGCGCCGCCGTCGTGGTGGCGGTCGTGGGGCTGACCCCGGCAACCCCGACAAAGTTGGAGACCACGAAGGCCACCAAGTAGGAGCTCATCAGGGGCGTAACCTGGAACGTCGTCTTGGTCCTCGCCGTGTTTCCGCTGCAATCGACGGAAAGGGCTTGGGTCATCATTGGGGGACGTGGACTGAGATTTGGCCGCGGAAGGCGTTTTGCCGGTGGATACTCACGCTATGTCCGCCCTGGTGCCGGCGGTGTTGGACAGGGCCGTGAGGCTGGTGGCGTGCGTGATGCTGACCTGGAAGGTGGCCTTGTAGTGGGGCTCGTCCCAGCAAGGGAATGCACTGCGGGCGTACGCCGGCTCGAACTGCGTGGCCGCCATGCGTCTGCAACCGCCAAGTCAGTCAAGTAGGCGCCTTGCGCCCATTCAGTGGGTCATAAGGTAATGCCTTTGGAAGGGCATTAAAATTTTGCCCCTGCGAAGGGCACAAACCGAATCTCGCCGTCCCAAGGGCGGGCACAATGTACTCACATGTCCTGCTGTGCGTTCTTGTAGCTGCTCCTGTAGAACCCGTACATGTCGGACCTCAGCTTGCCGGTGTACACGACTTTCAACTCGTACGTCTCCGCCGGGGACATGGGGATGTCGCTGCCGGTGATGGCCTCGTTCCACCTCAGCGTCACCATCTGCAGGCCCTTGTCCTGCTCGATGACGGCCTGGTCCTGCGTCGGGAAGGTGATTCCTCCCCCTTTGCCAGTCTGCTTGAGCGAAGCACTAGTGATGGTGATGACGTCCAGGTCCACGTTGAACGTGAGGAAGGCGACCTCCTTGACGGGCTGCAGCGTGACGGTGACGGTGCCGGAGAACGTGCCGGTGTCCCCGGCCTCCAGGTCCACGTCCAGGTCCACGACGTACGACTTGGGGAACACCGTCTGCGTGCAAGCAGGGAAAGAGGGGGCTAGTCCAGAGCTTCTCACACTCATGGTGTCCAGTGTCCCGTCCCTATCACAAAGGGGTGTGACAGAGCGACGAAACAATCCTTCAGTCGCTGGGCGTCCACGGTGGGCACCGCGCGATGGGGACAGGACCGACGGGTACGTACCAGGGGGAGGCGGTTCTGGGGGCCGCCCTGGCTCTTCGGCGGGGACGTGACCGCGTCGTCGAGGCGCACTGCGGGCACTACGGGCGTGGGGCTGCCGGCCACTAGAGCGGTCCAGGCGCACAAGGCCACCAGTGACCACGGCGCGAGGACGGACATGGCTGATCCTGCAGCAGCACAAGAAGAATCCAAAACTGAAATACAAGCCCACAAAACAGCAAAAAAAGGAAAACTTTCCAAATGTAATAGAGAGAAAGAATGCGCTTTCCCAGACCACAGGTTGTCTACCCGGCCACAAGATAAGGCTCTTCTCTCGAGTCGAGTGCAAACAAACTGTTACGAGAGACCGCGAACGAGAGGCAAAGTGGCGGGAGCTGTAACCATGACCTGCCCTCGACGGGTTTCCGCGAGTCCTGTGAGTGCTCTAGGCGCTCTAGGCGCCCAAAAGGAGCCTTACCTCGCCCAAACCCCCAAACAAGAGTTTGTCGGCCACAGACAGCACACAACCCTTTCTCAGCAGGACAGCAAAACCAACCAGCTACAGTGTCTGGCAAGAACGAACTTTTCGGGGGGTTGGACCACCACTCTTATTTCACGCGTACACAAGATTACGGGATTGCAGGAAATTTACCAGGGATTACGCGTGAAATTTTGGAAAATTGGTTTGAAAACGTTGAAAAATGACTCAAAAACGTTGAAAATGACAGAATTTTGAGAGGGATTACGTGATTACAGCATAATGGATTACCGGAAATTACCAGCCAATTTGTCTACAGGTTTACGAGGGTGGTGGCCCCCTCGCCGTCAACGGCGCTACAACCGTGCCAAAGTGAGTCCGAGCGCGAGACTCTTCTTGCAGAGTGTCGGAGAGCAAACCTTGCGTTGCGGACGGGCGGTAGATGGAGCGCGCTGAGGGCGAGAGGGACAGAGCGCGCGACAGGCGCTCCTCGGGGACCGACGGGGACGGTGGCGGCGCGCGCGGCGGCCGGCGTGCAAGTGATCTGGAATCGGCGCGGCTGGGCCCCGCAGCTCCGCAGCTCCAGGCCCACCAGGTATCTTATCGCCAGTCGACGCCTCGCCGTGCGGCACGGCCGTATCGCCGGTAAGGCGCGGTGGAAGTTGAGTAATTAGAACGAGTTTGGCGTTATCGCCGCGTCGCGAGCCGCGGCCGTTTATAGGATGGATCAGCCATCAGCCCGCGACGCTCATCGCCCGATAAATGCCTCTGGGCCGAAAGGCGACGCGTCGCGACGCGATGACTCGCACTGCACCGACGCCGTCGGTCGCCTCCCCGCCGCCCGCAAGACACGCGGACGGCCGAGGCTGTTTCGCCACTGTTTCGCCACTGTTTCGGGGAAGTCCACCTTCACGCCCCGCGCGCCCGCGTGTCTCGTCTCCGCATTTTGCTGGAATTTTGTCTCAGTTTATTTGCGCAATGAATATTAAACTCTGAAGTTACGTTGCTGACGAATGTATGACTTATTAAGTTCCGACACGCACAGTTTCACCCAGTGAAAATCAACTGTTTGAAACTGAACAGTCAGTCTTTTATGATTTTTGACCAATTTTCCTATGAAAATCGTCTTTTTTTCGGCCGTATTTTTAGAACAAAAAATGTTGGCGCTCATGGGAAATGTCTCAGCTGAGAAATGCCAAGGTCATGGTGAGAATTGTGGTGCTTGACGTAGGACTGAACGTCGGATAGGGAGGGGGCATCAGTGATGGGCGTGAGTCTGTCGTTCCCAGAGGTAATCTTTCGACAGTTAAGTGTCGCCGCCGCTACATTCGAAGATATCCGACTCGGCGCGAGGCGGGCGTGTCCTGCTGGGTCTGCTGCCTTCACTCACTAATCCCGAATGAATACCATTTTCCTATCAAATTCCATGCACAAGAGGCGTCCTCTGATAAAATCAACTCTACGACGTTTCCCAGCCGCGTATATGGGCAGAAATGACATGGGGAATAATGTTCCACTTTCGAGGAATTTAACACATTCACGACCGGACTCGTTTTGGGCAAACTTCCGCTCAGGACCGGAGTCTGCTTTGACCAAACCATGCATCTCCCAGACCTCGCGACTAGATATAAGCACGAATCATGCAATAACAAAACCAACCAGCCGAAAAAAAAAAATTCCGGGAACCCCGTGCCCGGACGGTCGCGAGGGCCATGCCCATTCACGGGTACAGGGTTCCCGTGTGGACGCCAACGACATTAGATGCGGGAACGCAGCACGGAAACACGGTTCCCGATCAAAATAAGTACCAAAATCATTTTATTTTTCAAAAATAAGGAAGAAAACGCAAGAAGTCTCAGTTTGAAGCTTATATGGCCGTTTTTGAGTCCGGGAACCGTGTACCCGGACGGTCGTCAGAGACATGTCCAGTCCGGGAACGTACTGAGTAAAAAAGCCCCAAGGGGCTTCCCCTAACCTAACCAAGAACTTAATCATAATAACAGAAATTCAGAATAGCACCTAGAATAAGATAAGATGGGAAAAGCCGCAGGCAAACCCAATTGTAACCATATGTAAAATGTACTGAAACAAAAAGCCAATAAATCTCTTTTCAAAAGTAAAAAAGTACGTAAAAGCGGCCCAGCAAACTAAATGAGGGTATTTTTGGAATCAGCGGAGCGAGCCCAGGCCATTCGCACACTTTTCGACCTGTTTTGAGATGTTACAACCAACCCGATTTCCACGCGGCCTTCTTGACATGCAGCAGAATCGGGCCGTGTCAAAATCGAGTTGGTTGTAACAGCTCAAACCAAGTCGAAAAGTGTGCGAATGGCCTGGGCTCGATCCGCTGATTCCGAAAATACCCTCATTTAGCCTGCTGGGCCGCTTTTACGTACGGGAACGGTGTTCCCGGACTGGACATGTCTCTGACGACCGTCCGGGAATCATGTACCCGTACCAAATTCATCGTATGAGGTCCGTTCAAAAAGTAACTTGCGTCTTTCGTTGAGGCGGTTCCAAAAAAATATGTCTCATGATCGTGACAATTCTGTGAGGCGAAATCGGAAAATCGGATTTGTCCGGGGACGGTGTTCCCGGATGGTCGTCTGGACTTTTTCCCGTACGGGAACGCGTGTTCCCGGACGGTCGTGAATGTGTTAATCCAGGGATCACCACAAACTTATCATGGCAATCAATGGCGTCGTCACTTCCGTTGTGCCTGACGCAGAAACCTGCGTCACCTTGAGGTGCCTTGAGGTGCCTTGAGGTGCCTTGAGGCAGCGGGGCGGCGCCCGCCTCAAACGCTGGGGTATCGCGGGCGTGGTCCGGCACGGCCAGCCTGGCCGCAGGCCCTAGATAAGGCATTGTTTGAACACGGAATGGCGATCTAGCATCGAAGGGGAGCGTGGGGAATGCCGAGTGACCTACACCTTTGTCCGCAATTAGGCCGCGTGTCGCCGCCGCGTGTCGCCGCCGCGTCTGCACTCAACAGGCCAGTGGCCGGCCGGCTTATCCCACCGCTATCTGCGAGGAAGTGCGGCAGCCGCGCCGCCGCGCCGCGCCAAGTCCCGCGGGCCACGTCGCCGCCAGCGAGCTATACCACCCCGACGGCGCGGCGGCGCTACCCCGCGGCCGCAGGGACGCCAGGGACGCGCAGACGCGGCGATACCCCGTGTGGCACGCGGCGCCGCCTCGCGCACCTGTCCGCGCCGCGTGCCGCGAGCAGTGCGAGCACCCCTAGGGGCCCCGGCACGGCAGGCACGGCACGCCGCCGCCCCTGCGCGGCCTCAGCGGCCTCAGCACGCCGCAACGCCTCAGTGCGCCGTGAGCGGGGCTCTCGGCAGGTGAGGCGAGGTGAGGCCCCGTGACCCCCGCGCCGCCCACGGCGAGCCGACGACGGCGAGGTGCAGCACGCCCGTGCGTCCGCCGGCCGGCCTGGCGCCGCGCTGACACACTGACCGCGGCGGCGGCGGCCAGCGAGCACGGACGGCCAGGACGGCCCGGCAGTAACGCCAGGATAACGACGCATAAAGCTTACCGTACCGCGGGGAGCAGCGCCAGCGCGCCAGCGCCAACGTCTAGTCCCTGCATTGCTGTGTGCGATAAGCCTGGTAATCCAGGTCGCGTCGTCAAAATAGCCGTCAAGATGTGCGTCTTCTTCTCCTCTCTCATTCTAACGACGGGGCCAAGCGAGCCTCAGGGACGCGCGGAGGTCGTGGCCACTTTAAGCATCCACCTGCATTAGGAAACATGAAGCCGCGGGCAGCCAGGCTGCACGGCAGCACGGCCGGAGTGGCGGCCCGGCTAATGCATCTGGCTGGGCCTTTAACGAAGTGGAACGCCGGACGAGGCGTGGCGGGGCGTGGTGGTCGGGGCGGGGCGGGGAAGTTTTCTGTCCTGCAGCCCCTCCTGCTCCCCGACGCACAGGTTCTCCCATCCCCTTCACCGCCCCTCTCCACCGCCGACCGAGACCGAGCGAGCATGTGGCCGATGTGGCCGCGCCGTGCCGCCAACCTGTGCTAATAGAATGTGCATGAGACTGGAACGCTCCGCTCCAAGGTGGGCAAGGGGAGGGCGGTCGCCGTCGGCGTCCCCTTTCTCGGGGCGCCCCGACTGGCCTGGCCTCCCTCCCGTATTGCCCGTTCGTATAAAAAGGAGCACAAACCTGGATAAATCCGTTTCGGCAGGATGCGGGCAGGGCAGGGCAGCGCAGCGCCACGGCAGCGCCAGGGCCCGGGGCTACCGCCCGCTAGAGCCATCGCGCAGTGCCCGGCTCCTTCAAGAAGGCCACCTCTGCCACCTCCGCCCTCGCCGGCCCCGGCCCCGGCGAGCCCCGGCGTGTGTTTGGCTAGGGCCGCTACCGCGCCGCCGCTCCAAGCTTTCCCGACGACTTCGTGTCGTTTTCCGTGTCTCATTACGGCACGGGCGATTTCAGCGGAACGACCCGGGAAACTTTGACAGCGCCGTGTGGCCCTGCACCCGCCTCACCCCGCCTCACCCCGCCGCGGGGCACGCGTCTGCAGCATCGACGGTGTTCTGCAGCCCGCCGCCCCGCCCCGCCCCGCCTTGCGAGCGTCAGCGAAACACTCACTTCCTGTGCCGGCCGGCCATCGCAATGACGACAGTAAACACGCGACAACGTTGCGCTGCAGACTGATCCCGAAGGTCGTTTTCGGCGCTGTCTCTCTCGCACTCGCGGGGCGCTCCGAGAAGGTGCGAGCAAGACAGCGGCGACAGCGACTGCTGGGCGTCGACGCCCGGTGGCGGGTGGATCACGGCGACGCTGTCCATGCCCACGACGATCTCGGGCCGGTGCAGGAACCGGGAGAGGAGGAGGAGGAGAAGTAGGACGACGACGACGACCCAGGTCGCGCCATGTTCCAGAATGACGGCGGCTGTATTTTTGTCCCGGCGGCCTCCTGGCGTGGCACGGCACGGCGTGGCACGGCACGGCGTGGCACGGCCCTCTGCCCTGTGCGGAAGCAAGGGAAAGGCAGGAGCAGGACCGCGACGGGGACCGGGACGGCCCGAGGGGGAATGGCTAAGTTACGACGACCCCTCACAAAGTAAAAATCACCGTTTTACGTCCTCTTTTATTTGTATCATTTGGCGACTGGCGGCGCCACGCCGCGGACCCGGCCGCCCCGCCCCGCCCCGCCCCGCCTCGGTGGGGGAGGTAACGTGCCATCGCCCTGCATCGCCCTGGGTCAATCCGGCGGAATGAGGTTCATTGCGGCAATACCGCGCCTCCAAGCCCTCCAGCCAGTCTCCGGCACCTCCAGGTTCGGAGGGCCTTTGGAGGCCTTCCTGGCCGCCTTCCTGGCGGCCCTCCTGGCCTCATCCACCCGCTGCAGCCGCCAGTGTTCTGTTCGGCAAAGCCCCGCACTATATGAGGGCCCCGCGACGCCCCCGCCCCCTCAACCTGTCCGTCAGCTCCCCCCTCCCGCTGCCATTCCTCCCTTTCTTGCAGCCTCGCGGCTCCGTGGATCCATTGTTGGCGCCGCACCTATTCTCACCTTCTCACAAGAAAAATGACCGCTCGGCGGAGAAGTCGACGACGGCTATCTCTCTCTTTCTCTCCC